TCACACCACATACTTCATTGAGAAAATAAATACAATTGGACTTGAATAACCTCATCTTTCCATCACCAAATTCACCAATTTACCCACACCTGGATCCACACACTCTGCCTTCGATCCCACTACAAGCAAAGAAGCTTCCTGGATCCTATCCCTTCATGTCTATTCATGGAATTCTGCCCTCCCTTATCACTCACTTCTTTCCTATAACCTATAATCTCTCTCAAGTCACTAGAGCACTCACATTAACATAGATTAATGTCACCTGTCTTAAAAATACTGGAGTTCTGGCCAAGATGGAGGTGTAGGTAGATAGTCTTCACTTCCTCGTACAACCAAGAGAAGGATAACAACCAATTAAAAAACGTAAAACAATGAGAATTGCCAGAAAATCAAACTGTATGGAAGTCCAACAACCAAGGAGTTATAGAAGAAACATTCATCCAGACTCATAGGAAAGGTAGAGATAGGAAGCCAGGGCAGAGAGGATGTGGAACAAGGCAGCAGCTGGCTGACTGGAATGGGCGAGGTGGCGGCTGGTAGATGAGACAGTCCCACATTCACATGGGGAGAAGCTGGGAGGAACACTGGGAAGTGAGACAAACCTCACAACCCAGAGATTCAGCACTGGAAAGTAAAGCCTCAAAACCTCTGGTTGTAAAAACCTGTGAAGGGGCCGGTGGTGGGAGAAACTCCATCTCACAGGATTGTCCGTTGGAGAGGCTCATGGGATCCTAGAATGAACACAAGCCCACCCACTGACGACTCAGCACCTGAAAGGGCACAATCTGCTTGTGGGAAGCAAAGGAAATGACGGAAGGTGGGGTGAGAACTAGGCAAGCAAGCAAGCAGTGTTACTCCCTCTGACTCCTCCCCCACATATAGCCCACAACGCAGCAACGTGGGCTGCTCCACCTTGGCTAATACAGAAGGCTCCGCCCCTTACAATATAACAGGAACACCAAGACAAAGAACTATAGTCCAAATGAAAGAACAGGTCAAAACTACAGAAAGAGAACTAAGCGACAAGGAAATAGACAACCTATCAGATGCAGAGTTCAAAACACTGGTAGTCAGAATGCTCACAGAAATTATTGAGTATGGTCACAAAATAGAGGAAAAAGTGAAGGCTAGGCAAAGTGAAATAAAGGGAAATGTACAGGGAACCAACAGTGAAGGGAAGGAAACTGGGACTCAAATCAATTATTTGGAATGAAAGTAAGAAATAAACATCCAACTGGAACAGAATGAAGAAATAAGAATTCAAAAAACAAAAAACAAAAAAAAAAAGAGGAGAGGCTTAGAATTTCTGGGACAACTTTAAATGTTCCAACATCCAAATCATAGGGGTGCCAGAAGAGGAAGAGCAAGACATTGAAAAGTTCTTTGAACAAATAATAAAGGAAAACTTCCCCAATCTGGCAAAGGAAATAGACTACCAAGAAGTCCAGGATGCTCAGAGAGTCTCGAAGAAGTTGCACCCAGGGAGGAACACACCAAAGCACATCATAATTAAATTATTCAAGGTTAAAAATAAGGAGAGAATCTTAAAAGCAACAAGAGAAAAGAAGACAGTCAGCTACAAAGGAGTTTCCATAAGGCTATCAGCTGATTTCTTAAAAGAAACCTTGCAGGCAAGAAGGGGCTGGAAAGAAGTATTCCAAGTCATGAAATCAAAAGACCTACATCCAAGATTACTCTATCCAGCAAAGCTATCATTTAGAATGGAAGGGCAGATCAAGTGTTTCCCGGGCAAGGTCAAGTTAAAGGAGTTCATCACCACCAAGGCATATGAAATGTTAAAGGGACTTATCTAAGAAAAAGAAGATAAAAAATGTGAACAGTAAAATGACAACAAACTCACAACTATCAACCAGTGAACCTAAAAAACAAAACCAAAAACTAAGCAAACAACTAGAACAGGAAAAGAATCAAAAATGGAGATCACATGGAGGGTTATCAGTGCAGAGCAGGAGGGGAAAATGGGGAAAAAAGGTACAGGGAATAAGAAGCACAATTGGTAGGCACAAAATAGATAGGGGAAGGTTAAGAATAGTGTGGAAAATGGAGAAGCCAAAGAACTTATATGTACAACCCATGGACATGAAATAGAGGTTGGGGGAATGATGGTGGGAAGGGGGATACAGAGTCGAGGGGGATAAGAGGGAGAAAAAATGGGACAGCTGTAATAGGATAATTAATAAAATATACCTAAAAATACAAAAAATTATCCATGTTGATGGTTTCTACTTTCTCATGACCTATTCTCTTTAAGTTATTCCAGTGTGGCTTTCATTCCCTCCATTCATTCAAACAGATCTTATTAAAGTCACCAACAGCATTTTTACCAAATCATTTTGTCATAGGTTGAACTGTACTACCCTAGAAAATACTGAACTCCTAATTCCCTAATTACAGTATCTTTGAATATGTCCTTATTTGGAAAAGTTTTTTGCAAGTTAAACTGAGGTCATTTGGTACACTCTAATCCAGTATAACTATACCCCTATACAAAGGGAAAATTTGGACATAGAGAAACATGCACACACACTGGGAGAACACCATGTGAACATGAGGCAGACACTGGGGTGATGCATCTACCAGCCAGGAATGCCACAGACTACCAGTAAACCACTAGAACCTACAGAGGCATGGAACAGATTCTCCTTCTCAACCTCAGAAGGAATCAACCCCGACAATACCTTGATCTTGGATGTCCATATTCCAAGCCTGTGAGAAAAGAAACTTCTGTTGTTTAAGCCACCTAGTTTGTGTCACTTTGTTATGGTAGCCCTAGGATATCAACAGTACTTGTCTTTAGGCTCCCATGACACCAGTTTCTTGGTTTCCATGCAATTTTGGTGGCTCCTCCTCTACATGTCGACCTGCGTTAGAGCTCAGTCCACCCGTTTTCTAGCCTCTCTAATCTAAGTGATCTCATCCAGTTCCATGGCATTCAATGCCACTTAAATGCTGAGGACTTCCATATCCGAACTCCAGACTGACCTTTCCCATTTCCACTTTGGCCCTGAGACGCTGCCCTGCAATTACCTGTGTCCATGACCACCTAGCTGTGCTGAAATCGAAGACAGGACCCACACCTTTATCATCTAAGTCGCCACACAGCCCGGTGCTTCACCTGACCCCAAGGAGGCTGTCAGTGTTACTTGTTGACTAGACACCTCACACAAGTCCCAGTCACTACAATTACCTCACAGGTTAAAATGCTGCCTCACTTTTAACCTTTCAAATCCAGTCTAATTTTTGCCTCCCCCAAATTCCCAGCAAGTTGAGTTACTTCATTTTGCCACCTCTCTTTGAGCTCAGAGAACCTGGGCTCCCGGGCTTCTTTTCTCTCCTCCTCAGGCAACCCGATTCCCCAATCCACAGCCCTCTCACTCTCACTCCATCAGGTGGTTCAGACCTCTGCCCCAACTGGCCAAGAAATTTCCTTTAACTAAGACTCTTGCCAGACCCACATTCTAGCTTTTTTAAAAAATATTTTATTGCCCTGGCTGGTGTGGCTCAGTAGATTGAGCACAGGCCTGTGAGGCAAAGGGTTGCTGGTCCGATTCCTGGTCGGGGCGTGTGCCTGGGTTGAGGGCCGGGTCCCCAGTGGGGGACATGTGAGAGGCAGCCACACATTGATGTTTCTCTCCCACTCTCTCTCCTTCCCTTCCCCTCTCTCTAAAAATAAATAAATAAAATATGTTTAAAAAATATTTATTTTTAGAGAGAGGGGAAGGGAAGGAGATAGAGGGAAACATCAATATGTGGTTGCCTCTTGTATGCTTTCTACTGGGGACCTGGCCCACAACCCAGGCATGTGCTCTGACCGAGCATCAAACTGGCAACCCTTTGGTTTGCTGGCTGGCACTCAATCCACTGAGCCACACCAGCCAGGGTCCCACATTCTAACCTTTTAAAGGTCCCTTGGGACTTTCCAGCACTGCGGTTACCCCTGAAAACCACTTAGAAATATGGCAGGTGACACTTCCTCCTGTCTACTACTAAAAATCCCTTGGAAGCTGCACAAAATTTCTCAACAGGAAATATGACTCCCCCTGGAGAGGTCTGAAAACTTCTGGGTAAAATGCTGGAACAAAGATCACATCACCTTCATCTTCCATTTGGAGTATTCAACTCTGGGCTATGGCTCTGCTCTCTCATAAAATGGGGTTGGGTAAATATAACTAGGCAGTGACTTTTTTAAACATACAGGACTGTCTTTTGAAAAATTTTTTTATTTATTGACTCTTTTTTGAGAGAGAGGAAAGAAGAGAGAGGGAGAGAAAGAAATAAACATCGGTTTGTTGTTCCACTTATTTATGCATTCATTGGTTGATTCTTGTATGTGCCCTGACTCGGGATTGAACTTGCAGCCTTGGTGTATCAGGACTCTATAACCAACTGAGCTACCACATCAAGGCAAGGATTGTCTTAACTTACCTTTTAAACCTCAGCCTGGTCCCTGGTACAGGACCCAGCGTACAACTAAAGGCCTGCATACCCTGTGGATGGAGGCCTGCTAGGTGAGCTAGGTAGTCCTGGGAAGCACAGTAAGTGGCAACAGAATTAACAAATGAGCCATATCGACTTTCCAGGATAGTTGTAGTAAGACATGATATCATATATATTAAAACACTCTGAAAATTAACATATTATAGCATTTTTAAGGAACTGTATTTAACATGGCCTAGAAGGAGTCAAATAAACTTGCATTTGAATTCCAGATCCAAGCTGAGTGGCTGTTTCCTTAGTAAAATTATTAATCCCATGAGCTTCAGTTTCTTCGTCTATAAAATGGGGATGATAATACTCACCTGTTGTATCAAGTTGTGAGGCTTTGTTTAGTGACAGATGTAAAACATCAAGTGAAGTGCACCAGTATATATAAAAGTTACCATTTGTAAGCCATTAGTATTATTTTTCTCTTGTATGCCAGATGTTTACTCTAAACATGTAAACATCAACCAATCATGAAAATGATAACTTTGTTTTTCTTAAATGTCATTTATTAAAAAATACAATTCCAGAGAAAGTAGGAGCTACAAGGACATCTGGAAAGTGGGTACAATACATAGACCTCTTTAAACCAGGGACACAGAGGGTCCAAATAAAATGAGCTACAGGCACAAAGCCAGTAACACATCTATGGTCCATTCATCTGGAGAAGTCCACTCCTGTTCCCCACTTCCCTAGCCTCTCCCCACAACAGCCAGCTTTATACTTGCCATTTTTAATTTAAAAGAAAAGTTTAAACTTCCTTGCTGCCCTATGGCTGTAATGAGTGGAGCTTCTTTCTCCAGTTATGGAATGAGTCAGCAAAGCGGGGGATTTCTGATCCTTGGAGCTGGAGAAGAAGCTGAGGAAGGACAGGCCGTTTGCAAAGTGTCCCCCATTATCTCTGCTCCCCAATCACAGGGCACATCGGGCCAATACTAGTTTAAAACATTAATATTAAACTAAAAGTCTCTCCCTCTTGTTTTTCAAGGAAGATACATTTTGAAGGAAAGCGCAAGAGTGAATTTCAAATCCAAGTGATTGTAAATGCGGGGTATTAAGAGCTAAGAGACCCAGTCTCTCCCTCCCAGCTCCAGGTCAATCACCGCTCCAATCCAGTCTCCTTGAGAGCAAAGAAAACCACTGGAAAAAACAAGTTTTGACGGGACTCCAGCCCCTTTCCTTTTGGCTCCAGACTAAGTAGGTGTATGGCCCCATAAAATGAGGGAAATTCTTATTAAAAATGTGACAGAATGGAGTTTGGGAGAGAAGCAGCACGAAAGAAGTCTTCCCAGGATTAACCAGCAGGCAGCCACATTGGCATCTGAAGCCTAGGGCCCCTTCCCAGAGCCTGGATACCCATGGGTGAAATGAAATCAAGGGCCAAGGCAGCATTTTCATCCCACAGAGAAATATGAAGAGAGAGACCTATGGGGGAGCAGCCCCAGTGTACTCACTGGGACCAGATGGCCCCCAGAAGGGTGAAAGAATGGAGGTGTAGAAGACATATTCAGGGTGAGTCCTGGCAAAGTAGAGGAAGAATTCCCCCCAAAGGAGCACGGGTCCCTGAATACAGCTCCTTTACGGAACCCCATAAGAAAGGCCCTTCCTTTGACACATAGGTATCACATTGCTCTCCTTTGGAGGCAAAATCAGAAAGGCCCAGCAGCACAGGCCTCAGTCCAGCACATGCAGCCCACCCTGCCTCTCCCCAGCCTGCCCTTAGAGAGGGGGGCTCTCACCAAGGACCCACTGGGCCCCTCTCCAAATAATTCTTATTGAGAGAAAAACAAAACAAATCCTAGAGAAAAGTCCAATAAGAACCTTAGTCATACAAAAAGTCCAAATAATCTTCCTCTTTTTGCCTTCTGAGGCATATGTAAGTCCCTTCTCACAAGGCTTCCTGTCCAGTTAGGACAACATTACTATTTCATTTTTTAAAAATAAAAATAAAGATATCCGCCCACCCTCCCCCCAAACTCTACTTCATACAGCCCACCCCACATACCCCAAACCAGGCATTGCTCCCTTGACACAAGGTAAACTTAAAACTTTGCTGCAACCTCACAGCCTCCAAGGGGCTGCTCATTACAACCAACTCAAATGCAGTCTGCAGAGGAGGGGATGGCAGAGGGCCTCTTCCTCTCCCTGCCTGCCACCACAGAGGCCCCATCCACCTGGACAGCAGGGAGGCCTGCCAAGGGCCCTGCCTGTTCATAAGAAAAAGACAAGTCAAGCAGCAAGAGGCTTCTCCCCTACCAGTCTGGGGCCCAGTCCCCTCCACCACCAGTCTGGGGCCCTGGGTGGGGGCTCTGCTGGGCTCATGAGGTCTCATGACTTCGAGATCCTAGTGCGAACCAGCCAGTCTTCTCCTGGGCCAGGTCCAGCTCTCGCAGGCGGATGTGCACCTCTCCAAGGAGAATGTTCTCCCAGAATCCTTGCTCACTTAGCACACTCAGCTGTAGCTCCCGCTGCTGCAGGTCTCCCTTGGGGATCCCATCATACACCAGCTGCAAATGCAGAGATTGGGAAGATCAAAGTCGTAAGAGAGGAAACGTTGGAGGAGGGAGATGCTTACGTCTGTGGTCACTTTATCTGCTGAGGCGAACACCACTGTACCTCCCTAACCAGAGCCCAAGGGAATACAGAAGGCACACCGAAGCCAAAGGAAGCTTCAAAGAACTTTGTTCTTTGCTCAGAGTTCAAGCAAATGAGGGGCTTTTTTTTTTTTTTTTTTTAAATTAGAGACACTGCTCTTATCAGCAAAGGATCAGGAGACTCCTTTTCCCATAAGACAGGGGCCAGGCCACGCCCAGCTCTGGAACCCCAACCCTGAGGGTCCACAGAATTTCCATCTAAAGGGCAAGAATAAACATGGCTTTCTAGGTCATCTAGTCTGGTCTATGTCACAGCTACACAACCCTGCCCCTGCAACATCAGCAGCCACAGAGGATATTTAAAAGAATAGTTGTGGCCCTGTTCTAACACAACTTTATTTACAAACCCTGCCCCACCCCAGCACCTTCCCTACACACCATTTCGTTGTAGGTGGGGTTGCAGGTTTTCCGGGCCACTTTGGTTTTCTTCTTAGTGGTTTTCTGAGGGTCAGGAAGGAGATAAATCTTCACATAGGGGTCAGGGTCATTCCCATCCTGGAGCAGTTGCTACAGAGGGAATGAAAACCAAAAAAGGATGAAGATTCTTCTGTCTTTTTATCACCATTCCTGTGATCACACCCTGATCCAGACTCTCATCTTACACCTGGCTTCTCGAAATGCATATAATTTACTTGGCTGCTTCCCAGCTCCTTCCATTCTGATAAAAATATCTACCATAATGTTAGGAGTCCTACTAAAATATCAGTCAGATTGCCTGTTATATCCAATCTATACTGTTTACACAAATGCTCAGGGCATGAATGAATGATCATATCCCCAGGTATCTCTCTGCCTCGCCCAGTGTCTTTGTCTATTTTGTTACTTGATGCAAGTAACCCTGTAAGATGTAGAGAAATGAGTCAGAGAAATTAAGTTTCTTGCTCAAGGTCAACCAATTAGTGATTCATCCAGCCTGATCCTTTTAAATCTCAAGTTAGATCTTATGCCTGTAGTCCCCCAAGAAGAAAAATTCATTTGATGTGAAACACAAGAAGGAATTTACCTGCTGAGATGGACTCCCCATGATCAACTGAGGGCCAAGATCTCATGACTAACAGCCTAAGGGCCATTTGCTGACAGGGGCTTCTCACGTACTCCGCACACCAGGAAGAACCTCAGACTGAACTTTCAGGTTCCTGTACTATGTCCTGCTTAGTCAACGATTATGCAGCTGAGTCAATTATCGTAAGGGAGCTCCTGGTCTTGTCTATTGACCAAGGGACCGAGTGCCAGATCCCACTCAGAACTGCTCCATAATAATCAATTAGAACAGAACAACTTGGAAATCTCATCTGCATGAAACTGGGAACTTGGGCAGGAACTTTCTACAAAAAGGTGATCTCTCCTTATCTCAGCAGAGAACAATGAAGACTGCTACCTGAATCTGTGTCTGCCTGGTGGCAGTTCTTTTTGCTCAAATAAATGCTTTTTAAACTTTTATTACAGTCTAAAATTAATTTTTGCTTACACGCCTCTGCTCAAAGGCCCCCAGTGGTTCCCATATCATTCAGGGTAGAAGACCGCTCCTGACTATGCCCTCCAGTCAGCTGTGCTCTCCCCCAACTCATGAGCCCCCACTCTCCCCTTTGTTCCACAGGCTCCTGCCACAAGGGCCCCTTGCAGTTCCTCATGCACCCCAGGAGGGCCCCTGGCTTTTGGCTTTAACTGGACCCTATGTTTGGAACAGTATCCCCTCAGGTATATACGCATGGCTTGCCCCTCACCTCCTCCATCTTTGCTTACATACATCCTTCATCAACAAGGGCTTCCCTGATCACTCTGTGCAACACAGCCACTACCCTCATTCCAGCCCTGCATTATTTTTCTGCCTTATTTCTCACCACAGCACTTGCCATGTATTTGTCTGTGTCTTCCTAGTGTTATATAAACTCCCTGAGGGTGAGGATTTTGTTTTCCTCACCCTGTACCCAGAGCTAATGTACCAGTGCCTGACTCCTAGTAAGCACTAGATGAACATTTGTTGAATGAATGAATGAATGATGTCATAAGAGTGAAATTCAGGTTTTTCTGACTCCAAAGCTCATGGTCCTTCTGCCACATACCAATGTCCCAGCTTACAAAAGTCCAGCACATTACAAGAATTCAATAAAAGTTCCCTCCCCTGTCCACTCACAATGTTCTTAGAATTGTACCAAAAATTTTAGTAATTATATACTGCCTTGATTATTCTCAGGGTGGTCATGTGGCTGCCTTACCTGTACAATCAGGTAAAAAACCCTTGGGCTTCTCCCTCATTACAATCACCACAATTACCATAACAATACCAAATACTATGTTAAGTGTTCTACAGGCATTATCTCATTTAATGCCCATAACAACCCTATGAGGTGAATACTAACATGATTTTCATTCTAATGAGGCTCAGTACTTAGGCTACTTGCTGAAGACCACAGGGTGTAAGAAGCTGTGTCTAGTATTGCTTGGTCATATCCTAGGCCTGGTGCAGTAGCAGGCCCAACACTGGGTACCCAGCAAACTTGTGGTTACTCTTGTCTCATGAGACGGGGCAGTATAGGTCTCACCAGTCAGGTGTACCAGGAGAAAGACGAACAATCAAATGACAATTGTGCATGCACTTACCAAGCCCCGAATATGCATCACCATGATGAAGAGTTTATTGTTTTTGTAGGAGATGGACAGCTTTACCTCCCCTCCCACTTTCCCAACAGGACGGGCCCAAGAGCCATCTGTAGGGACAAAGAAAACCGAGAAAGGTCATGAGGCCAGCTGTTTCCATCTGGCGTCAGGCACAAGTTTATTTTCCTCTGACCCTCCTCCACCAACAACACCTTCATGGCAGGTTCCTGATACCCCCTGAGGGATCTGCCAGGTGGCATCTGTGAACATGATTTAGAGTTGGGTGGGGGTGGGTCTATCCTATTTGTGTAACCCATCAACTGAATACCCAGTCCCTGGGGAACCCACACAAGGAGCAGTGGATCCCACAGCCTGAGTGGGAAACCGGATTCTGTAGATAGCAAGCAAAGAAACAGACGCAAGTGAAGAAAAGAAAACTGGGAAGAGGTCGGGGCAGGAGAAGTTACCCTTGAGAATGGTTCAGAGGGATTGGCAGAAGTGTCACAAAGGCACCGTACCTGAGGACTTGGGAGCTGGGCTGGTATTCACAGCCTTCTCATCCCGGGGCAGGGGGTGGAAGAAGGTATACACCAAATCACACTGGAATAAAATCAGTAAACAGGGTCCCTCTTCAATAAAACAATGGCCCAATAAGAAAGGAAAGAGACTGTTCCAGATTAAAACAGACTTATAAAACATAACAACCAAGTGTAATACACAGTTCTTGCTTGGATCATGGCTCAAACAAGCCAAGTGTAAAAAAGTTTGGGGGATGAGAGGACAATTTTGAATGATGGCCATGTACAGGATGCTATAACACAACAATCATGTAAGAACACGTCCTTATGTTTTAGAGATGCAGACTGAGTGTTTAGAGGTAGAATGGCTTATGTCTGGGATTTACTTTAAAATACTTCATACAAAAATAGATGAAGATAGCAGAATATTAACTGCTTAGGTTAATGAATATATGTGTGTGTGTGCACACTAATTATACTGTCTCTCTAAAGTTCTCCTAATGAAAAGGTTTTTAAAAAGAAAAAACAAGAATGTGTTTTCATTCACTAGGTCACTTAACGTGACCTAGTTTGGTCACATTAAGTCAAAAGCAGCCTGTTCTTGCCTGCCACTCCCTCCCCTGCAGACACACACCCTCCCTTAGGCACGGAAATGCCTGAGCCAGCCTTGCTCAAAGACCATGAATCCTACTCTGAAGAATGCTTCCTAAATAACCAGGAACTAAAACCCCCAAAATGTGTGAAAATATCCATTCTAGCATTAACAGTAGGAAAAAATGGACATAGTCTAAATATCTTTCAAGAGGCAGATAGTTAAGGAGAAAATGGTATTCCAAGTCAATGTATTAAAGTTATGTTTACTCTTAAAGAAAAAAATAAAAGTATGTTTACTCTAAATGCCAAGTGAAAAGAAACAGGGTACAGAATTATATTTAAGTTATGACCACTATAAAACTGTGATAAGAATCACATTTGCATGTGGACAAATAGGAAGGAAACAAGGAAATGGCTTGCTGATTTGTTAGGGTGATGGATCTGATGGCTATGTTTATTTATTTATATACATATTTATTATAAAAACAAATTATATCGGATTGTAATATAATTTGTTTTTAAAAAATCTAAGTGGTGGTAAGAAAAAGCAGATCCAAGGACAGAAAAAAAAAAAAAACAAGACTCAATTACATTTTTTAAAATAAGAACCTTCAACCTTGGCATGCTCTCCCTAAGAGACCACACAACACTTGCAACCAGGGGAGCAATGTACAGTGGCAGCTTGACCCAGGCTGATCCCCTGACCCTGTCTCCAGGGCCCCCTTTTCTCTGACTTCTCAGTGAGCTGAGGCAGCTCTGCCTTGGTTCGTACCTTTCCCATAACATTTCTGGAGAGCCAAAGCCACCCTGCCTAGCCTCTCTCCTGTCGCTTCTTCTATCCTGGGTCCTTCCTTGTCTCACTGCCCCCAACTTTAATAAGTGTACTCTCAAAAAAACAAAAATAAAAACAACAACAAAAACCCAGCTTCAGCCTTTATGAAATAAAAAAGGAAGCTCAGGAATGTGAACCAATCAACTTGTAATTTCCTGATCAACACTAGTGAGGTAATTAGTCAAGTAAGACCTCTACAGTGCCCACCTCCCACCAACTGGCCCTTACCTGAAACAATCCTTTCTTACCTTTTGCTAACAGCTTTTCCTGTCCAAGTTTCTACCTAGAAAAACCTTCCATCCTGTACAACTTCTCAAAGCCCCTCTCTATTTATTAGGTGAAATGATGCAGGATCCATGCACGTTTAGTAACTAATTTACTTGGTTGAATTTTTGTTCTTTAACATTGGATACATAACCTAACCTACATATGCAGTTTAGCAGGTAACCTAGCACAGATTAACTTTTGTTTAGTTTATAAATTTGCCTCCATTAACCTGTGACTCCACCTAAAACACTAAAAAATGTGTAAGATTTGTCTGATGTTATCTTGTGATCTGCTCAAAGTTTCTCTACTAGAACTGGTTTTCAGGGACAAGCCGGGCCTGTTTTGCAGGATCAGGATGTTAACCAGCTGAAATCACCTGGGAGGGCTGGAGCAGGCTGAAAGACCTCCACTAACCTCCTCTAAACTTTCCTCATTATATCCTCCTTAAAATTCTAAAATCTTCCCGGGGGTGGAAATTTTCTGCCATGTCGGAATCTGTGATGCATGGATAAACATGTTTCCTGACTGTGTGCGCCCAGATATGTCCCCTCCTATATACATGCGACAATGACGTCTACCTCGATGTTTATGCATGATTTCCCCTAATAAAGACAGATTAGATGCTTGGCTCTTAGATATGCGTGTCCTCGCTGGTAGGCTTGTAATCAAGTTCCTTCTCATCAAATTATGAAGGAGTTGTCTTCTGGCTGGCAACTACAGAGCATTCGGACCGCTTTGGTCCAGGGACAGACACAACCCCTATCTGCCCAAAACACTATTCCTCGGGAACCGTTCCTTTCTCAGGTTCTGAGATCCCCAAGCCCTCTGGGACCGCAGGTAACTCCACACACGTACACGACACCGCATCCGGGTTTTCCGTGCCTGACCCCGAGGGCGAGTGACCTCTCCCCTTCCTTCCGCTCCCCCTCCCCCCCCTGCAGCGGAAGCTGAGGGCTGCGGAGCCCAAGGCCCACTCTGATTGGCAGCGGGCACCCCACCCGTCAGCCGCGTCCCACCCCCGCAGCAGCACTCGAAAGGCCAGGACCGGGAACCTCCCACCCACCTCGGCCACCTCGGGGACGGCGTGGATCAGGTGCCGGATGTAGCGGTTCAACTCCTCCCGCCGCCGCTCGGCCCCCGCCTCTCCCCGCGGGCGGCCAATCGTGAAGCGACTGGGGAAGCTGGTGAGGCCAGCGGACAAGGAAGCGCAGGAGGGGCAGACGAAAGAGAAATAGGCAACAAGATTTGTCACTTTTCATTTGCTATTTCATCCTCCCGACCCACATCTCTCAGCACTCTCCCTTCCTAGGGTCCCCACCGATTCCGTTCCTCCCGCAGCTTCCCAGGTCTGTGCCTAGGGCGTCCCCGGCAGTTCCGAGGACACCAGATGAGAAAGCCAAACTGCTGGGCAGAGTCCTATGGGTCCCCAGAAGTGCCGCAGGGGCTATGGAGTCCCCAGTTTCCCCCATCATTTTCTCCCCAGTAAAAATCATTTGAAAAATCATTTTGTAAAAATTTGTGGTGAAGTACACTTAACAAAATTCACTGTCGTAACCATCGTTACTTGTAAAGTTCAGTGACACAAAGTTCATAAGTGCAACCATCATTACTGTCTCCAGAACTCTTTTCATTTCGCAACACTGAATTTCTACCCACTAAACAACTCTTCATGTTCCCCCTCCCTCCCAGGCCTTGTCCACCACCATTTTACTTTCTGTCTTTATGAGTTTTACTACTATACTGCTTAATATAAATGGAATATCACGCAGTATTTGTCTTTCTGTGACTAGCTTATTTCACTTAGCATAATGTCCTCAAGGTTCATCCATGTTGTAGCATGTGCCAGAATTTATCTGTGTTTAAGTCTGCATATTATATAGCATTTGAAAAATTGTTTTACTTTTTAAAAGATTAGAAACCTTAAAACATCTTCACATTTAGTAAATCCCCTACGTTTGGATCCAGTTTGCTCTCCTTCCAGCTTATTTTAAAATCTGGAGAGTTTGGCCAGCAGGGGGAGCACTTGTCCTCAAACTCATTGCCAGGCCAAGAAAATCAAGTACCTTCTGTTGATCTATAGCTCCCACAGTCCGGCACACCACCCATCCATTCTCCCTCTCCAGTATCCCTCTAGCAGAGTAAAGAGGGCAGCTACCTGGGCAACATAGAAGAAGGGAAGAGCAGCCGCAGCTTATTGTGTAACTCCTGGAACTCCTCAAATGTCCGCTGGATGTAAGTGGCCTCATGAGCATTCTCTCGCATCACCTTTACCACATAAATCTGCAAAGGTTCCAGTCTTAGTGAACACCTGCCGCAGCCTCCACACTCAACGAGGAGAGTAGGTAAGGGAACTGAAGTGTGTGCTTGCGTGTGTGTGTTGGAGGGTATACACTTTCCAGAAGGAAGAAGGCAAAAGTATCTCCAGTGGAGATAAAGGTGATGTGCCCATGTACCTATGAGGGATTTTAAAGCAAATATTTCCTGCACATGTTTCCCAAGGCCCTTGACTCAGAGGGAGTAACCATCCAATTCAACTCCTTGATTCCAGGCAGGCCACTGAGGCAAGGGAGAGGGACATGGTCTATGACTGCTCCCAGCATGAAGTGCTAGGTGACTCAAGTGCCCACAGTGTGGATGTGAAGAAACAGAATCCAGTAATCTGGGGACATTTGGGAGCAAGAGAGATCAGACTGGAGAAGATGCTTACATAGGCCTTGTTGGGGTGGAAGACCTTCTCCTGGCGGCAGAGGAAGACATCACTGAGGCGGCCAGAGCGCTGAAGAGTATATGTGCGGGGGGCAAAGGAAAGGGTCAACCGGTCGTCTGAGCCCGTGAACTTCATCTGAGCCAGGTTATGTATGAAAAAATTGAGCTTTGTGGCTACACTGCCCAGGCTGGACTCAATCAACCTGTTGGTGTAAGAGGATAGAAAGAGGATGTCACCACAGACCCATGTCCCCACTGCCTGGACAGAGCTCTCTCAAGGAATATCCCCTGACATCTGAGATAACACTTCACTCACATCAAATCATTTTCCCTGTGTCATATCCTCATAGAGCACATGAGTGGCACACAATGATCTACATGCAATTTATTATGTGAATCCAGGGGTCTTATCTCCTCTCACTGCCCTCCTAAGCTGAAGAGTGTTGAACCAAGGTGGAAAGGAATTAAGGATTCTACCTAGACTCACCAGGTGAGTATCTAAATATTGTGTCAAACTGAATTTCAAGGTTCAGTACCATGTAACCTCACCAAGCACTGTTCAATCTAGAAATTTCAGTCCAAAAGGAAAGGTTCTGTGTTAGACCAACAGAAAAAAAATTAGTTGGCAAAGTCCCAAAAGAGTGCATACTAAAATGGGAGATATCATCTATACAAAATTGTAGGCATTCGTACATAGACAATTCCATGCTATATACAGTGTGCCTAGAAACATTGTGAAACATGGGAAAATGAAACCATGAAATTCATGTTTTGATAAGGGAGGAAGAAGGTTTTGATCCAGAGGGCTAAAAACTACTAAAAATTCATACTTCCTCCATAAACAAATTCTTTGACCAAGACCTGGTGAGGATGTAAGTAAGAGCAAATTGCAATACCTCTATAAACAAGGATTAGCATCAAAATGCAGATGGGTCTGAGAGATGTGAAGTAATTTGCCTAAGTGAGAGGCAAAATTGAGACAGCATACCCACATTGTCAACTCTTGGCTCTGCCCCCTGTGCTAAGCCTTTCCCATTTCTCTAGCCCTGCTCCTCCCAAGCAGGCAGCCTGGAAATCAATGACTTAGGGTGGGCAGCACATTTTGTATGTAGAGTGTTACCTAGTAAAGTAGGTTGTGGCATTGGCCTCTGTGTCCTGAGGCCTCAGGGCATCATACACATACTTGAGGTCCTCCAAGTCTGAGAGCTCAGGGATCCCACAGGACAACATCTACAAGGAGAGTAAAGGAGAAGAGACGGTGCCTAAAACAACCAGGAATCTCGCTTCTTCCCCACTGAAAGGCAAGATTTTCTACAGCAAAGCTCCCTAGCCCTCCTAGAGGGTGGCAGATGGATGTCATGGACAGTGGCTGGAGGGCCATAAGAATGGAGGGGCTGGAGCAGGAAGCCAGACACCCTCATGGACACCACTGTCCCGGGGTGACTAGGCCCTGCCTTTATCTAGAGCTCAAAAATGTAGATCTCCAGGGATCCCTTGAAGCAAGACAGGGAAGTCTTAAAGAAGTGCCAGAAGCTAAAAAGGAGGGATTCAGAAAGGATGGAACTCCTCACCAGGCCCAGCAGGTTGAGGAAGAGGTGGGTGTGCTTGCGAATGAGGTTGTAGGCTTGGCAGCAAAGGTCAACAAAATCATGGAAGCGGCTGGAAGGCTTGTCACCCCCGTTGATGACATACGCCATGTCCGAGGTGAAGACAAAGGGGGCACGGTCCCTGGGCCAAGGGGAACATACAGGTAAAAGGTTAACATGGAGGAGGAAGCCCACCCTGGGGGCTTACTGGGGATGGTTCCCCTCACCCCTCATTACCTGTGCAAACCTGGATAGATGGGGCTGTTTTTTGTTTTTTGGGTTTTTTTTACTTTAATCCTAAAATGTCCTCACAAACATCCTTCATTGGTTTCTTGTCTGTGAACTAGCAGGATTTTTTCCCTGGATATCTAATTGTATTCCCCTTTGCTGTGGTTTGGGCTCTTTTCTTTTTGCTTAGTCCTCAGCAGGGAGAGAGCAGTTGGTCCCTGCCTTCTGTAAGACCCTGCAAGGACCTGACCTCTTTCTCAGTCTTCTCTTCTCCAAAGCTGCTCAGCCTGAACCACGCTCTGAAGTGCAGCCCCTTCCATCATGGGCTTGTGTCCCAGCTCTGGTACCAGCAGTGGAACCATTTCCACTGACCAACCCCCCCACCCCACCCCTACTTCAGAAGACCACCAAGCACCACTGACCGCTTAATGTTGCCAAACATCTGGGCATGTCCCAGGAAGCGGCCAAAATCAATGTGAAACATGTGGCCAGTCGTCTTCAGCATGATGTTGTCATTGTGTCGGTCACATATGCCCAAGACATACGTGGCCACACAGCAGCCGGCGCAGGAATAAATGAAGTTCTCCACAGCCTGGAAGGAGGAAAGGGAGACATGAGAGGACACAAAGCTGGCTTGGAAGGACTCCATGGCACAGCCAGACTGAATTCTACCAGGTCTGGCCTCTCTCTCGTGAGTCCCAACAGTATCTCACATCTGCCTCTTCAGCCTTCATCATGGACCGGTGTACACACTGATATACACAGATTCATCAGTTGTATCTTATGGAGTATGAGAGAATGGAAGGCTTCTATGTGTATCTCCACCACTTTATCTGAAATTCATCTTTCTCTGCACCTTTCTTTCTCCCGGGGAGCATGGTTGGAAAGACAATGAACTCATCCAGAGCCCAAATTGGACCATCCCAGGTGGAAGAGACCTTGAGAGAGAGGAAGACTGACATATACAACTTTCCCAACCAGTTGTGACCATCTTAACTCAAGTGCACACTGAGGCAGCCAACTTAAGGGTCCCTTCTTGACCCTGCTCTGAATTCTTCCATCCTCCTCCCTGCCCCCCAAACGACAATTATCCCCAGTGTTCTTAGTAACAGCTAAATGTTAATTTCACTAAAGTCACTTTACTCTGAAGAAGAGCTGAGGCAGCTTAACAGTTCTGGGTGTGTTTTACACTTGAAAATCAGATATCTCTAGTTCGTAAAGTATGTTACATATATTTTTGAGTTTAAAGCAGGAGGGAAATGGGAAGGGGTTAGAGCTACCTTATTTTATTTGGTCAATACCTGTCCCTTATCTCTTTCTAGAAAGTAAAAATACATGGAAATATTGAATGGACACTTTCACTCTCTAAATCCTCTTTGTGCCAATTATAGAATTCCCAAGAACTATAGAAAGGTGCATTAGCAGAGGACAACAACCATCACAGCCAACCAGGAATGTACAAAGTTGGGAATGGATGAAAGCTTCCCAGACAGAGAATGTGCACCCTCCCTACATCCCTCTACAGCTTTCTGCCATCCTTCATGGACCCTCCTTGAGTCCCACACCTCCGCAGACCTGCCCAGCTCACTCTGGCTGCTCCACATTGATCTCCTGCAGCCTCTCTGTGACCACCACTCACTAAGGGTTGAGTCTTTTTACTCCGCCAGGGCTTAGGGATCTCGTTTCTCAGCAGCTTTTTGGCTGTTCCACAAGGCCTGTTTCAAAACTAGCTATACACAGAAACCTCCCAGATACTTGTTGAATTAAACCAGATGACTAACCTGTAGGAAACTCAGAATAGAAAGTCTGTAAAGAAATCACAGTAAAAAAAAATTAAATAAGTAAATAAATAAATCTAAAAAAAAAAAAAAAAGAAAGAAAGAAATCACAGAATGTGCCTTCTGGAAGCAAGACTATTGCCATGGAAGGGAAGCATAGGAATAAAAGGAAACCCAATCAATAAGGGATGTAACACATCAACTCCCAGTCTTGACTTTCACTTCCATCAACTTGCCTTCTTGACACAGATATTCTTTCTACCTGAAATGCATCCTCTTTTGACTTGCACGATAGCTGTGTGCCTGTGGGCAAATGAATTAAGTCCCATCACCTAAGTTTGTAAGGTGTTAGCTGCTTACTGGCAGGAAGTCTCACTGAACGAGGGGAGCTCTCCTGATTTAAGGGCTTTCACTTGCAGGGGGTAGGGAACTCTCTTTGCTGAGTAAGTGGCCAAGAACCAAACATCTCTAGTTCTTTCCTACTGGAAGCCATAATAGGAAACTACCAGCATTATTCTAGCAGAAAGGCAAGAAGAGCTGAAAAGCCAGCTGTGAAAGACTTACTAAATATTAAAAGAGTTACTTTTCTATGTGTGTATTCTTGTTGTATATACATCTCTCATATTTACTATGATTCTTTATTACCTTGGCAGGGAGTAATCATAATTCCAGCACCAATCATAGTGCCTCTACATGGTGGCTGTTTAATACCTGAAAAACACATTAGTAGACACAGTATAGGCAGGGGGCGGGGCATGTGGTGGAGAACCCCATTACTGCTCTCCAAGGGCAGAGGACCTGGAAATCTGTAACATACAGGCAGGGGATTCTGAGGGATGCGGAAGGGATTACTAGAATCTAAAGGTATCTCAGACATGCACATAGCTCCCTAAGCTGCAGCATAAGTTATCCTGCAGTGGGGAGTGAGGAGGGAGACTCCAGAGGCAGACAGAGCTGGGTTACATGTACGTGCGGTGCTGTGGATGTTGGGCTTTTCTTTTAGGACACAGGGAAGCTTTGGAGAACTTAGAGCAAGAGAGTGACATAAGTAGTTTTGCATTTTGTAAAACACCTCTGAAATCAAGCAGAGAATGGTGATGGAAGGAGGCGGCAGGCTAGTGGTTCAGAGAACTGAGAGTAAAGTGCTGAAAGGAATGGAAAGAAGAGGACAGATGTGAGAACTGGGAGGAAGTGTCAGCAGGGCTTGGTACAGCAGAGGCGGAACAGTGGCAGCCAAGAGAAGACCCATGGCTCTGGCTCAGGTGGCTGCACAGAGAGTCACACCATTTCCTGAAAGCAAACACACAAAAAGCCGGTTTTGAGAGAGGTCAGAGAAAAAGGTGAGTTTTGCCTACACTGAGATGTCCAGCAAGCAGGTGGCTACAGAGTGTACAGCTTGAGAGAGGGAAGAGACAAGACTTTGGAAGGCATCGGCACGTGGGTGGTAAAGTAAGACGAGATGATAAGCTGGCACAAGAAGAATGCAAAGACAGGCAGGTCAGGAATTAAACCCTGAGGAACGTCAATGTTTAAGGCCATTTAAGATGATCTAAACAGATGTTCCTGAAACAACATTCTGATTATAATTTGTCCACTAGGTTTTTCCCTCAGGGATAAAATGCATTGATCAACATAAATTAGTAATTGGGTCCCCTTGGAAGTTCAACTGAATTAGTTAGCATCTCTGGCTTATAGCCAGTCTCTTATAGTGTGGTTATTGTGATTTGTCACCTCCCCTAAACTCAGTTAACCTGGAGACTAGAGCCGTGAACCACTGGCCCAGCCATGGACCACACACAGCGGGCCACCAAGGCCCTCCACCAGGCAAAGCTCCACCTGAGGGACAGGTCAGTCCCTTTTCTGTCACCTCCATCTCCTACCTAACCTTAATCCTGGCTTCCCACTACAGCCTTGCCAAAAACCAGCTCCCTAACTAAGAACTAGCCAATCTTAATTCACATCTGTGTAGAGAGGAGTTGGGTTAAAATGATCTTTAAAGTCTCTTCTAACTAACATCTTCTATAAAGTACTGAACCCCTCAGAAGACACAGAACTGAATAGGATCCATGATTAGGAGAGACACAGGCAGGTTCTTAAAGGCTGGCCCCCCTCCTCCAAAGCTCAGTCTGATGGGGGAATGCGGTGAAGTTTTCCCAGTTGCTACCAGGAGATTTTCTGTCTACTTAGGAGTCACTGGACCCACCCCCAGACATCTAGATATGCCAGCCAGCCAAGAAAGGGTGTGTCTTTCATCCCAACAGAGCCGAGCTGTCTCCTCTGAGCAGGCGCAGGCCTCGAGGTAGCACTGTGACCTGCCAGACTCCAGCACACCCTGCCCCGGCCCCGCCTGCCACTCCCAGCCCTACCTTCTCATACTCATCCTCTCCAGGGTTGTGCTTCTGCAGCCAGTCAGCCAGGGGCCGGTCCTTGAAGGAGCCAGTCACTCCGTGCTCCACCTGGATCTTGCGCAGGGTCTCAGCATTGGGAATCATCTCCACCATCCCTGTGACGGGGACACTGGGTCACTCTCCAGAGCAGAGGAAAGGGACTGTCGGGAGAGCACTACAAGCACTTGCCAGATGCTTCTCCATAAATAAACCCTAGGGCACTTGGACCAAGTCTCTTAACGAGGGGAGCAGATCATGATAGAAAGGATGTCATTTCCCAGGTCTCACATTCAGCATTGTGACTCTGGTCTCTCCTATTCATAGCTGCTGCTTCTTTTTGTTTTTCATTTTTAGTCTGGGAATTTTCAAATGCATACAAGAATAAAGAAATGATCATGTACTCACACATATCCACCGCCCAGTTTCAAAAATCATCAACACTTTGCTAATCTTCTCTCATCTATTTCACTCACCCAACACTGCTGCCTCCCCCTGCCTGGGCTGGAGTATTTTAAAGCAAATCCCAGACTTGTCATTTTACTTGTAAATATTTCAAGTATAAATAATAAGGACAAAACTACGATGCCATTATTACAACCAAAAATGAACAATCATTCCTTAGTCTCATTTAAACTAATCTTACTCAACCCAGTCCCTATTCATACTTTCTTTTCACAGTTGATTCAGCTGAATTAGGATCCAAAGTCTACAGAGTATGTTTGGCTGTTCGGTTTTATAAGTCTCTCTTTCCTGCCTTCTTTTTTTATGCCGCTCCACAACTGCTGATGAAATCATCTTGCCTTTTCGATGTTTTCGGAAAAGCACAAAGGTGGTGTTGGGAATAGGCAAAAGGACAGAAAGCAAAGGGCACGCCCCATCCTACCCTCAGCCCCGTTCGCAGCCCTGCCCACTGCCAACTGACCTCTGCCCCTGCCAGTGGAGAAACAGCGGAAAATCACCATGCGCATGTCCAGCCCCTCCTGGACCCAGATCTTGCTCATGATGCGAATCATCTGCAGGGTGAGCATGTCCTGACGAAGGTCATCCCCACACTGGAGGGAGGAAGAGAGTGATGACCAGAACCATCTCTACTGCCTTTTTTGGCTCCCAGATCTCCCAGAAGAGAGATATAGTTTGGACTATAGTGACAGGGACTGCCCAGTTGTCCACCTCTGACCTACCTACTCAGCTCACACCAGGTCAGACCACCAGAGATGGGCTATGCAGTGTCTGGCTCTTCCCAAACCCAACATCCCCATCAAAATTGAAGTCAGTTTCCCCTTCTTCATGCAGCCCTCCTGATCATCAAGCTTTTTAAAATCTTAATGTTTACACCTTGGATTCAGAACTTACACACTGCAAATACTTACATACATACACATATATATATAACCAAATCATGTGCATTTCATGTTTCCACTAGACTACATGCCTTGAAACGATCATTCGCTTATCCAAAACATGGATGTATCAGTTAGAGGGCCTTATAGTTCAACTAGTCCAATCTGTATCTGATATATTAATTTCCTCTTTGACATCATTGCCACACAGTCATTCAGCCTCTGCATACCCCCAGGGACAAGCAGATCACCACCCTACCCATTCCACTGTGGGGGTAGCTCTGCCTCCTGGAAAGAGCTTCTGTATATCGAGCTGTCAGTTGCCTCCCTGCATGTCCCAACCCCTGGGGCCACGCAGAGTCAGTTTATTTCCCTTTTCATATGATGGTCTTTCATATACTAAGATGACAACATGGAATACCAGAAAGAGAACTGGCCCAGGGCTGCTACTGTCACCCCAGCCACCTCCCCTTCTCTCTACCACCTCCGTCCCACCAGGCCTGAGGGAAATGTCCTCACCTTGAAGATGACTCTGATGTTCTCACCCAGGGGATCCACATTCTGGAAGGTGAGCTTGAGGGGGACTGCGTTGGAATTGAAGTAGGAGCAGTCCTGCCACAGTAGAGAGGGCAGTGAGGAGGAGCGGGGTGGTCTGCGCCCGGGGAAGGAGAATGGCCTGTTTTCTTGGGTCAGGCTGCTTCCCTCCACCTGCTTGTGGTTTACTGCAGATTTTCTCAGGAGCCCTATTCCTTCCTGAGCGCCATCGTCTATGCAGCTTGTTGTGAGCTCAGCTCAAGCACCCGCTCTCTCATCCCTTCAGTTCATTCTCCACACAACTTATGGGTTGTGTGGCTTTTGGTAAGTCATGTGTCCCATCCAGTAAGTCATGTGTCTTGTCTACACCTCAGTTTACTCTGCTGTGAAACAGGGCTCCCAATAGTTGTGACTTTTAAGTCATGAGGATGAAATGCGATAACCAGCTTGAAGTGCTCAGCAGTGCCAGGAGCCGAGAGTGCTCATAAATAACACACAGCAGGTCCTCCAGCCCGGCTTCAACCCAACACAGTCACGAGACAGTTCCCTAGCACTCCACCCTGTCACCCCACAGCTGCTGGGGAAAAGTCCCTGTGTGCCAGGGTTGGGGAAGACCCCAAACATGCCTTTCTTCCTCGTCTTTTTCAGTAAATGGGTGTGCAAAGACCTCACCTCCACTGAGTCCTCCCCACTCCAAGAGCCCCAAGCCCACCGGTCACTTACCCTGGGCACGATGCCCTTAACCAGAAGACTGGGGCTGAGTGGCAGGCGACAGGAGCCATTGAGGGCAAAGAACTGTTTTACCTCCTCCAGGCCATTGCGGAGGATCCCCTGAGAGGAGGGGAGGAGGTGAAGGAAAAGGGGTGATGTGAGGGGCTCATAGCTGCACTCAGTACCAGGCCTCTCCCCAGGGCGGGCAGCCAACAGGGACTGGTCTGAAAACAGCCCCCTGGGAATACAGGCAGCCTCCAGGAGACCATGAGGAAGACCAGCCCTCCTACACCGCAGCCTGGGACAGTGTGCCAGCAGCAAGCCCAGCACCTCAAGAGGCTAGATGATGACAGAGCAGCGTAAGGCAGGCCCGTGAACCAAGAGAACAGGCTGTGAGTCAAGGGGAAAAGGCTGCTCGGATTGCTGCCAAGAAAAGCTAACAATTTGGACTTTACAATCTCAATTTTTAAATGTTAGCCACAGGCACACTGCTGGCCTAACTCAGCCCATCTGTGCAAACAAGGAAAGGTGCCCTCTGTTGGTTGGCCATGGCACACAGCATGGCGAACAGAGTCTCACTGTATTTCAGCCCTCACTGGCCCCCACTGCCTGGGTGCTCTTGTGTTGTGACCAACTTATACAACTCTGCTCAGCCTTTAAGGCAAAAAGTTAAATAAAAAATTTAATACTTTGATGGCCAAACAAAACATATCCATGGGCTTTATCCAACTTGCAGACTGTCAGTTTGTGACCTGGGGGTTAGAGAGTCACATCCGTCCAACCCCGAAATCAGAGATGGTCGAGTGCCACCCTCTGGTTAGGATGCCTAGGAAGTTCATGACTGGCTGCAGAAGCTCAGGGCCAGAAATGGGTAGAAGCAGCCTCACTCACTCACCTGCCGTGCAGACGGGGTGGCCTCCCGAACCTGCTGGGCCAGCTTGGCCAGGGTGTTGACAAGCCAGCACTGGCGGTTAAACTCCTCCCTCAGCCCCTTGCCGCAGCAGCACAGCAAGGCTGCCAGCAGGTACTGGTAGCGAATGCTGAACTGGGAGTCTTTGAGGCCGTCCTTCAGCAACCTGCAAGGCAAACGACATGGGGAGTCAGGCCGCTCAAAGGATCACAGGCAAGTATAGGGGGAGAGGGATCAGACCCAGCTCCGACCCCGGACTTGGGAGGGAAGACAGCGCTGCACGCACGGCTCACACAGGGGTGTTCCTCCATACCCCAGTCTGTGCCCACTCTGCCTTTAGGTAGAGCTCAAAGCCTGTTGGCATCGTTTCTTCTTTCTTTCCACCATGTGTAGGTGGGTAGGAGGGCCAGGGAAGATCCTCGCTGTGCTACCTGGGGGTGGACTTAGACTCCCTGAGCATAAGGGGCTGACCCAAAGCCACATGGTAAGTGAGCAGCATACTAAAAACCCACCCTGCATGCCTAGGAGTCGAACACTCTCAAGTAAAGGACCCACATCTCCCCCACCTTTTTCGCGCAGTTTTACCAGAAGAAGTAGTGAGTCACTCTCAAGTCAGAGATTGCCCGTTTCAGGAGGAAGCGCACCAAGGGGCTATCCAGGTAGCACTCATACTTTAGGGCCTGTTTAGGAGAGAGGAAGAGGAGGCTACACTGACTGCCTGTAATCCATACCTACCACTACCTCTGCCCTAGGTTCTAAGGGCGAGAATGCAGACCAAGCTGGGGTTTGGGGGTGGGACTGTCAGAATTGGAGGGCAGGCCGTTCCACCCACCTGCACGAGCTGGGGAAGGTAGTCAAGGAGCTCAGCATCCGACAAGGAGCCGATCCACTGGACAGCCATACGCCGCACCTCCTGGTCCGGGAAGCTGTGAAACAGAGCCCAGAACTCTGACCACCCAGCCACGGGCACTGGAGCGAACCAGCACCTCACACCTGAGCTTTGGAGGCACGGGTGGAGAAAAGACAGTCTCTCAGACTCTGCCAAAGCTACTAGAAGAATCCTTAGCACCTTCTCTGGAGAGCGGCCTTGAGAATGGCTCTGTCCTCCAGTCAGAGCTGGACCTCAAGCCACAGATGAGCAGGAGGGTCATCATGTTCCTTCCTTGCATGACTTAAAGAGAACAGGACAGAACCCTCAATCCCACCCGCAAAGACCTCTTCCTTAGTTCCCACTTTGCCAGAAGCTCCAGTCACCAAAGAGCCCTCATGAGGGTCAAAGCATTGTGTCTTGGTACCACCCTTTAATGCAAATCTTGCCAAGTGAATAACAGAGTTGTGGAATTTTATATAAGACTGTACACCTTGGCAGAATTAGTTTAGCAGAGCAAAACTACTGCCTCCAAAAGTCCCAAAGGCAAGACAGGATAGAGTACATTTGAATTTCTGAAAAGGTGAGAAAGAAGCCAACGATGCCAGATACTGTCTGGGAAAGGCAGCCCAGCAGTCTCAGACTGGGAGCCTCGTGTCCCCCGAGAACTGCTCAGAGGAGAGACGGAAGACGGGGCTGTTAGAGTAGGACTAAATGAGAAGGTCCGGGTCACACGGGTGTGTGCACTTGCCAAAACTCAGCAACTGTGCAGCTTAAGGCTGGGGCGTTTCCTTACATGTACGTTTTGCCTCAAAAGAAAAAAAAAAACATTGAGCTATAGTCAATGATATTCATGCTAAAGTATTTAGGGGTGGAGTTATGATGCCTGCAATTTACATCAAAATGCATTAAAAAATAAGATGGGCTGAAGGAAGGATGGACGGAAGGATAGATGGATGGATACACATACAATAAAGGAAACAGAGCAAATGCTAATGGTTAGAGTCTTGGTGGTGGGTAGAGAGATGTTCACTGTAAAATGTTCAATTTTGTTATTACATGTTTGAGAAATGCTCATAATACATTGTTATGGGAGGGAATGAAACAAAAACAGAAAAGGGGAAGTAGAAAAGCCCTGAATTTTCAGCCCCACTTTATCACTTTGCCCAGGGCTGGCTCAGGACACTGGCTTTTCCCAGTAGACAATGGGAAGCCCTGGCTTCTGGAAGGACACCTAGTCAGTAAAGGTGAGTGTTACAACTCACGTGGCATGTAGGAGCCCCAGGGCATCTTGGTGGTTCATGTGGGTCCACTGCTTCAGGAGAACATAGATGTCGGGCAGGCAAGCCCACTCCCAGCTGGGGGCGCTGGCAAGCACCAGTGGAAGTGAGCTCACCTCAGAGTGGCAATAATATCGCTTCTCCCACAGGCGCTTCTTGTCAGCATCAGTGAGCCTGGGGTGCGGGTAGTAGGGGAGGTGAGAGAGCAGAGTCAGCCAGAGGGTAGGGTATTTATTCTCCAACAGAATGCTACACACTCTCCAACTCTGGTTCCTCAATTATGCGGCATTGCAGTCACCCGAGGAGCTCTGTAAAATTTTCATGGCCGGGCCACAGCCCGTACTAATTAACTCATAATGTCTGGGGAAGTGACATTGGTATTTTCAAAAGATGCCTAGGTGACTGCAATGTGGAAAGGAAACCAGGGCCCAAATCTCATCTTCATGCTGACTCTGGGATGTCTCAGACCTGAGGCAGAATGCAGGGCCAAAGGCACAGAATTTGCTCCGCCTCCTAAGGATGCCCTTTGGGGGCACCACTCCCAAGTACAGCCACCAGAGGGCAGCTCAGAGACATCCTGGGGCTTCCTGGGGCCAGCTGGAGGATTTGTAGGACCTACAGCTAATTAGGCCTTGCCTGAGATCAGGTGTCTAATGGGAGAAGGGAGCTGACGGACTAATGAAGCCAGAGGTCCAACAGAGGAGTGGGAGCAGAGTGGGGGCAGAGGTCTTTGGTCACTCGGCTACTCTGGCTGCACTGGGTGGGAGAGGAAGGAGGGATGAGCCCTGTCTCTGTTTCCTCCACCCACAACAGGCACAGGGCTGTGCAGGGGCCAGAGCGGTGCACGGAGACAGCGGGCATCCCGTCAGCTCCTCCAGGTCCTGATTCCTCCGCCCTCTTTTCTAAGCCGGGTGAGAGAAGCAGCCCCAGGGATGACACCAGCTTGGACTCCCTTACCCCTGAGAGCTGCCAGCTGGCCTTGACACCTGATCCTTTTTGAAAAGCGACAGGGCCAGAGAAACGCAAAGGCTGTGGGTATGGAAGGAACAGGAGATGGGGGCAGGGTGGCGCAGTCAGTAGCCCGCTGCCCCAGTGGACAGCAAGTAGTAGATGGCGTATCTGCAGTGTGGGGCAAAGCTCTTGGTCCTCCTGGCAAGCTGAGTCTGGGCCAAGTTTCCAGCATGGGGGTGGGCATTCCCAGATCTAATTTCCTAACCCATACGGCTCCACCTGCGTAGTGTCAACTGAGGAACGGCCTGGGCCCTGCCCTCAGCAGAACCCTCACTCTACCACTTCCTGCCCAGGTGGCAATGCCCACCCCATCCCACCTCTACTCCCAAAGCAAGAGGACAAGGTCATGAAGCTGGGAGGTGAGAGAGGTCAGACACAATGTGATAGACTTAGTGGGGACTGAGCCACGCGTGGGGGATGCATGGGCCTCACCAGTACAGAGACTCCTTCTGCATGATGTTCTTAAGCACACGTTGGTCTTCCTCCTGGAGGCTGCCAAACTCATAGCAGGGGCTGAACTTGTCTCCAGAGGGGTTGGTGAACTTGACGTCGAAGGCCGAGGCGGGGAAGTCAATCTGAGGGGTGGCATCAGTGAAACAAGGAGAGAGAACAGGAAGTGAAAGGGGGCTGCCACCTACTTGGGTCTCCAGCTTCTCCCTCGCATGCCAGCGTTCCTGCCTCCCTTCCTTACCCTCAGGCCCTCTGTTGACAAAATAACCCTGTTAAACTTGGTGCTCCCTAAAGTCCCTTTCAGCTGTAACGCTGAGCAAAATAAGAGAAGGAAATTAAAAGAAAGAAATAAAACTGGGCAAGTGAGGGAGAGGTTGGTCTGAGGTGCATCTAGGTGAGGGTGGGACAGTCCTCAGCCAGAGCTCTGAAATAAAGTGTCGCCAGGCTGAGCCACTGGGCCCTCTGAGCCGAGGTAGGGGAGCCTTCAGCACTGTGCTGGAGGGCGCTGCTGCCTGATGGGAGTCAGGCCACGTACCGGGTGAGGACCCTACCAACTCTAAAGCCTGAGACCCTGGGTTCCCTGCTCTATGCTGTCGAGTGTCTGTCCTCCTAAAGGGGATATCGAAACTGAGTGGCTCAGTTCCCAGAAGGAGTTCTGTGTTCCCTCATTCAGTAAATGTTTACTGAAACCTAGTACGTGCCAAGCACTGTTCTATACCCTCCATGTAGAGTGGAAAATAACACAGACAAAAATGCTTTCTGAAGCTTTCGTTCTGTGTCAGCCTATCTTGTTTCGTGTCCACTTTGACACTGCACGTTCCACGGGAAATGCGTCTGATGACACAGAACGTGGAGCCGGAAACAGGCAGCCAGACCTGGGTGCTGACCGGCTCCTCCTGCCCCCCCAGGGGTCTGTGCACCCACCAGAGCTCTGAGTGACTGCTTCGGGGAGCGCTTCCCCTCAGGCCCCAAGACAGGACAGCTATGATTTTATCACACTTGTAATATGAGAGTTCAACATGAGGGACTCCAAGGACTTGAGTTGCGGATGCGGAGGACCTTAGCCCCTGGCTTGAGGCCCCTTAACATCTACGTTAATCTCCAGGACGTGGGCATGAATTCCACAGAAGTAGGCTTCCCACCCCGAGTCTAACTACACACACTCACCTAGTTGCTCAGCCACATCATCATCCCATGCCCAAAGTTCCAGCATTTTCTCCTCTGTCTCAGCTCAACCTCAAGGCAAGGCCTGGCACTGACTCTGCTGTGGACTGATGAGTGGGTGGGAGGCGGGGCTGCGGCTAGGCTCTTACCTGCAGGATTACGCTGTCCGGCTGGTGGAAATTAGGGGTGCTCCAACGGGCGCTGGAGTTTTCCTGTGTCGCTGGCCATAAGCCCAGAAGCCTCCGCCCACAGGTCAGGATGCTATGGAGGATGGGGTGGGGGGACAGATAAGCCAACAAAGCCAAGTGGCTAAGGACATGGTTTTCCTTCTGCTCCCCAATCCAAAATTCTGCATTTTCTGCTTGAAGCCATCACTCAAATACTCTCTCATTCTCCCCCAGGACCACAGCCTTTTTCTTCTTCCAAGTCCTAGAAAAGCACTGCCTTCCAGGAAGCTTCCGGAGTTAACCACACCCTGGTCTGGATGACCTGGTGGCAGGGATGCCTTCCTGATATATAGAGCCAAAGTAGATGACCTTTAAGGTCCTTCTAATGACAAGACCAGATGACATGTTACCCGAGCATTGCATTTTCATGCCTCTCCCCAACAGTCCTGTGCCACCAGTCCTTCCCAGTAGCCCTTGGTAACATCCCTCATCCTGGTCACTAGTCCTGTGCCTTGGTCCCTTCCACCAGGGCTGGGACCCTCTGGACTCTGCCAAGTGAGCCCCTCATGGCCAACCCTCCCAATAGGTGGTGGCCAGTGCAACAGCCAGGCCCTTCTCTATCCCCCTCCTTCCCTTCCAAGGCCAAGAAGCTACTGCCCTGGGGTTCACGTACTGCCTGAAGTTGAAGAGTGGGGTAGTGACCCAGCCCAGGGCTTCAGGCGCCCGCCGCTGCTTGATGGCCTCGGAGGAGCTCCCAGGAGGGAGGATGGGCAGAGCATAGAGAGTGGCACACAGCAGTGTCTCCCGAGGCAGCAGGTTCACCTGCACAGGGAAGCAGATCCTGGGGAGAACAGGAAATGACATCAGGAGGTGCTGACCCTGGGATTTCAAGGGAGAGGTGGGTGGCCCAGGAAGTGAAGCTGAGGCTGAGAACTTTGCCCTCCTCTCACGATATGGGACATGCTCCATAGGGAGGCCTTCCTGTTGGGCAGGGACAGTCCTACACCATAGGTGAGAGCTCACTGGATGTGCCCACAAGCACAGTGCAGTGCCTTTGCAGCCTCTCAGGGAGATGAGGCAGACACCCCCTAATCTGGGGACTGTCCATGGTGACCAGACAAAACTGGCTGGGCCATCTCACAGTTCAGGTGGTCGCATGTCCCATACCATGAGCCTCACGCCTTTCCCTGTTTTAGGATTTCTACAGAGGACCACTGAGAAGCTGCTGCTTGGACAGTCCTTTTCCACTGAACAATCCCTTCCCTCCCCCACATCCTGCTGCTGAGAACCAGGAAGCAGCAACATGCTCTCTGCCCTCAGTTCACCCTCCCCCACAGTCCTCCACCTGTCTGTCTCTCCCTGTTCCCTTCTCCTAACCTCACAGGGGCACAACATGGTTTGTTCTCATCCTAAACATTTTCAAGGCCAAAAGGATAAAGAGAAGGGACTTCTCAAAGTGAGGGCGGTGGGGCAAAAGAGCTGAGAGCCCAGCCCTCGCATGACCCAGGCCCAGCTGTCCCCTCCCAGGCTCCAGACTACTCCCTCAGAGCTCAGAGTAAGGAGCAAGGGTGGGGCGGGGTACTGCTGTGGAAAGAGGGGGAAGGCCCACATTACCTTTCCAGGAAGCTGTCCCTGGGCCAAAGTCCACACTGTCACACCCTCTGGCAGTCCAGAACCTCAGCTTCTATGCCAGAGGGCACAGAGGCAGAGCTGCCACCCCCAAGGTCAGCAGTTGCAGGATAGAGCAGCCTCCCTCCAGGCTGCCCCTCACTCCTGCAGGGGACTCTCCTCTCCACTCAAGTGAGGCACTCCCTCCCTCCCTCCCTCCCACCGGAGACTGGCAAAGCCCTGCTCTGTCCCAGCTGCCTGGGGGGTTGGGGGCAGCTATAATTAGGGCCCCTCCAGCAGCCATCAGACATGCCAGGGGCCTGGCTGGGGCGGCGGAGCATGGCTGCTGGGCCTATTTTGAGAGGCAATCAGCTGACCCCATAGCAAAGAGCAGAAGGAGCTGGGCCTGGTCCCTTTCTTTTCACCCAGAAAAAGGCTTCCAGCCTCCTGTCAAAGGAAGAGGGGAGTGAAGAAACTTTCTCACTGAAATCATAACCCCTGGGACCAGTCAAGGCCCCCTCTCTGTAGTCCTTGTATTGTGTGCCTGGTATTCCACAGTCTCCCCATGGACCTTCCCCATGGGGCAGTCAGAATAATCAGCAGGTTAGCTGCAGCCCCGAACCTCCTCCCTGCCCAAGAAACCCCTTCTTCCCTCTGCAACCCATTCTTCAACATCACATCACTTATAAAAGGGCTGCCTCCTCCAGGAAGGGTTCTTGGGATGTGCCGGTTCCAGTTCTGGGTCGGCCACTTACACCCTTGGGGCAACGGATGCCAACTCGGAACCTCAGTTTTCTCACCGCTGCAAAGGGTCACACAGCTTCCCCTGAGTGTGTGTATACATAGTCTGTGTGCTTTTTGCTGTGTGACACTGCGGCTACTGCACTAGAAATGGGCTATACAGATAATATTTTCATGTACAAAAATCCCCTTGTATCACAAGTCAGTGTCAGTCACTTGGAACAGGACCTGAGAGGTCTCCCTCAGCATTTGTCACGTGTTAGGTATTGCCATGTCCCAATGCTCTCGAAAAATCCTGCAGGTAGGTCCTATTACCACGCCCACTGGGGCTGGGTGAGCCACCCAGGGCTGCACCTGCAGGAAGGACAGGAGGATGACCACACTCTGACCCTTCACTATAGTGTGTCTTCCCCAGTGCCTCTGTCTACTAGGAAGGCGCCAAAAGGTCCCCAGACGCCCCAGGAGCATCTGGATGGGCAGTGCTGAGATGATACCTTCTGCAGGGCTCCAGGCGGGGCACCAGCCCTTTGGGATTCCAGGCAGAAATCTCGGGCAGGGAGTGGAATGAGAGCCAGAGAGTAGGCAGAGTGAGGGAGGACAGGCCTGGCTGCTTCTTTACCTTTGACCCTCTATGGGGAAAGGGTCTAAGGCCAATTTTGTAGGGTCTGCCCGGCCTGGAGCACTGTATAGCATCCCTCCCTTGGCAGTGGATGTAACTAAGGCTGGAGAATGCCAAGGGAGTGAGGGAACTCGTCAGAAGCCTCCAGGGAGGCTCTCCTTCCCTGGGATTGTTTCATGAAAGGACTTTATTCACACCTTTGTTGCACTAAGAATCACACAAGTGTGAAGACAGGAGAAAGGGCCTGCCTCCCCAGCTGTCCAGCTATAAAGCGACGGCCCCATCGACCTATTTCAGCACCTTGGCCTCCCCAAGGACTCTCTCAGTCTCTCTAATATGCACTCCAAACACTGAAGCAGTAGTTATGCTCTGCAGACAAAGACTCAGACGTTGTCAGTATGGGGAAGTGAACCTGGGGCGGCAAACAAGGCCTTTCTGACTCTCTGGAGTGAGGACAGAGCACAGCACACAGGAGGCGGGGGCAGGCAAACACCTGTGGCTGCTTGAGGCGTACTCGCCTCCATTTCCTTCCTGCTTTGCGCGTGGCTCACACCTACCTTCCTGGCAGCAGATTATTGTTAATGAATGCTAATTAATACTATCTTGGGCTTATGGTTTTCACATTCATAACTAATCTACCTTGTGTCAATACCATAACTGTCTCTAAGTTAAGCAAATGTCCCCACTTTACATTTTGAGAGACTGAGGCACAGAGAGGCCCGAATAGGATTAAAATACAGCCTGGTTTCTGTGGCTCCAAGCCACAGAAGAGTTTTCTAGAGAAAAATTCTTTCCTCTAGACAACTTTGTCTTCTCCATTTATAAGTCCCCTCTCTATTCTGTGCAAACTTGGAGAAGAAAAGTCAGGGAGATCTCTTAATGGGACACAAGATTGAAACAATGAGTTATCGGTGAAACCAACAATGAACTTTGTATGTGACCCTTTGTGGTTCACCAAGAGCCTGCACGGACACTTCTCTTTGGAGTCTCATAACAGCTTGAGGGGTAGGGTTATACTTGTCCTCATTTATGAGTTAGGGAAGTGGAGACTCAAGATGCTAAAAGACTTGTTTGGTTAGGGTTAGTGACCACGCCTGGTTCCTGCTGGAGCCTGGAGGGAGGGCTTACCGCTGGTCCCAGATGATGAGGTGAAAGAGGTACTTGGAGAAGTGAGACCTTCGGGTCTGCAGGGGGCTGCACAGCTCCTTACCACCATGGCTGAGGGAGCAGGAGAGGTAGAAGTCTTCATAGCTACAGGAGACAGGGGGCAGGTCAGGCCACTCAGCTCCCAAACCTCCTCTCAGTCACCTCAACTATGCTAACACTATTTCCCTTGGAAAGCCCCTCTAGCTCTGTGGGGACTGTAACAGGGGTCAAGGACAGGACGCCAGATTGGAGATGCAGAAGTGTGCTCTGGGAGAAGCAACTCAATCTGGATCCCTCTGCCCAGTTTCAGGCTCCATGCTGGGTCATGGTTTTTCTTCCTTCTTCACGGGGAACTGGCCATGCAGCCTCCTCCTTCCAGGCAGCTCCAGCCCACCGGGGTTGGGTGTGCGTGTGTGCACATGCGCAGGTGAGAAGGGTGGGGGATGAAAATGACATCTGCCTACTTGAATGCCAGCACATGGGGGTCCCTGTGGCTTGTGACAGGTGCCTGACAGAAGAGGTCAGAGAAGGCCCTGGTTTCCCAGGCTGCCTCCTTTGTTCTCTGTCAATTGCCTAGAGGAATACATTAAGCGAGGAACAAAGAGAGAAGGGGAGGGAGGGGCAGGAGGGGTCCGGAAGGGGGAGGTAAAGCCCAAGGCCTATTCCCCCAGGCTTTGGATGCTGGGGACCCTGCGGAGGAGCTGAGGGTTACCCAATGAAGGAGCCTCTCTACACCCATCACTTCAGTCCAGAAGGGTCATCTTCCACCTCCCCACCCCTCCCCTTGTGCATCTTCGGGGGAGTGCAGTCATTGGCTGTGGGGCCGGCACTGGATCTGGGAAGCAGCCATCTGTCACCATCAGCTGGCCTTGGAAGGGAGGGGGGCAGGGATGCCTGTGCAGCCAGCTCTGAGCCAGCACTAAGAGGAAATGGCAGGATCTGCCCCAGGCAGCCTCTTCACCATCTCCTAGGAGACCTTTTCTCTCCTCTGGGACGTCCTAGCCCATGCGCCCCTCAGGCACCTGGCTCTCCCCCTCAGTCACTGTGCACCATGATGCCAGAGATCTAAATGTAGGGCAGTGGGAGAAGCCGTCTGGAAATCAAACTCTGCTCCCCTCTGCAACCCATCAGCCCTGGGCTCACCTGGCAGCCCAGGTGATAGGGATGCGGTGAGTGGCATAGACAGTGAAGGCCAGGGGCCTGGGGAAATGGCAGGCCTCCTGGACCAGGTCATGCTTGTGGCTCCCGTGAACTGCTGTCTGGAAGTCTGCATTGAATGTGCTGCAGTACAGTTCCACCAGGTCCAAGATAGCAGCCGTCAGGGCTTCCACGACCTTCTCTGTGACAGGAAGGGGTCAGAAGGAAAAGTCATGAGGCCTCGACAAGCCCCATCTTGTTGCCATGGTGCTGACTAGGATGGAATACCCTAGGAAATAGCCCCCGAATGCCAGTTAGATTTCTAAGTAGCCATGACAAAGTGCACCCATCTGTGGTGAAATGAGAAAAAAGCTGGAGTATGTCATAAGTTTCTCATCAAGTGACAGATATTACATTTTTAACTGTCCTTTTATACATTGTAACTTGTTTAATGTGAAATGTCCTTTCTTTTAGGGAACAGTGGGAATCACAATTGTCGGTTACTTTTAAAAAGTCATTGCTTGGCAAAATAAAAGATGACAATTTCTAATGTTTATCCCTAAAATAATACTTTTGGAACATTTTATTGGTCCATGGAACCCAAAAGACTGGGAATCACTCACCAAAAATCCCAGAACATGGGCTTTGTAGGGCAAAGTTCTGCTTGAAAGACTTGAGGAACCCTAGTGAACAATTCCTTACCACCTGCTCCCCAGGCCCACCCTACCTTGGGAACGGGGCTGTTGAGGCACTTGGAGAATAATCACAACCCCCCTAAGGGAGAGTTTTCACATCTGGAACCCAGGGCTAACTCTGCATCACCACCCCACCCCACCCTCACACCCACACCCACTCACTGCCACCTCCCAGGGACACCACAGGAATAACCAGTAAAAATAATGAGAAAACACTGTGTGGAAAGAAATGTGATCTCCAGATGTGTCCAAGCCTCTGATAAGGAAACACAGACGATGCCCCGGCAGTTGGGACGGCCAGGAGGAAAGGAATCCAGGCAGAGTCGGCAGTGTCTGCCGCCCCTATTAGATGAAGACAGAGCGGTTCCCTTACCTCGGTTCTCCCTCACAGCCAAGACGCTGGGGTCCTATTGGGGAAAAAGGAGAAGGAGGGGAACTTCAGGGCCATGGCCTTCATCCCAGCTGGAAGAAGGGCTTTTCACAGTTGCACTCCTCTGGACCAAACTGGACTGAAGTGTGAGGAGCAGAGATTCCCCCAGGAGGACAAAGTAATAGTTTGTACCAGTCCAAGGGTAAAATCATCGTGTCCACCCAGATAAGACACGCTAACCCTCAGGCCACTCTGCTACAGACCAAGTGCCCCGTCTGCCCAGCACACAGTCCCCACTGGGGAGTCAGGAAGCCCCTGGCTCAGGGAGGTTTTGGTTTTGCACCCTGATCCTGATGCAAACTGCCAGGCAGTGCCTCAGTGATAGTGAGTAAAGCGTTTGCTGGTTCAAGCTCCCAGCAATCAGTCCTAGGTGGCGGACCCTAGCCCACCCTCATCCTCAGGAGGAGGGGACACATTTGGCACCCCCTTCTCAAGAACTCTTGTGGTTATTCAAACATAAAAGATAGAGGTGCAGAGAAGAGCCTGGACAGCTAATTACCCAATTGCCTGTGAATATTCATCTCCTCCCCCATGCTAGCTCTCTGGGCCCCATTACCTTCTGAATTTTAGGCTGTATGCGGGAGGGGCAGGGGGGCAGCTGGTTGAGAGCATTGGTGATCTCGGGGGTTTCCACAGCAGCCAGGGCATTGCAGATGGCCTTAACGGACTGGACCACCCTGTCGGCCTTCAGTGGGAAGTCCCCCTGTGAGAGGAGGCACAGTGAGGCTGGCAGGCTGGCACTCTTAGCCTCCGGTGCCCAGTGTGGGAGGAAAGCGCTGGGAGGAGTGTGAGCTCATGACCCTCAGGAGAAACTAGTGGAATTCATGCTTCATTTTCAAACACCCGACATTGGCGAACAATTTTTCCTACTGAATTAAATGAGCCATGCCCATGCTCCCCAGCCATCCTTCCTGAGCTTCCTCTACTCCCAGCTACAGCCTACTTTTACTACACAAACACGCACGGCATCTCCCACAGAGACATCCACGGGTATAGCAAGGAGGCCAAAGAGACCACGCTGAGGCACCACTTGTCCCTGCAGCCTGTTTCTCCACCACCTCCTAGAACTTTTAGACAGATCTCATCTCAGTCCCCCAGACGTGCCACATTCACTCCTTTCCCTGGGCACTTTGGCTCCTGCAGTCTCTGCAGTCTTCCAGTTTGGAATTCCCTCACTTGTCCTGTCCTGATTACCACTATACATTCAAATTATGGACCGGCTAAAATCCAACTTCCTTTCCAAAGCCCTCACTGGCCAGTTCCCCTCTCTCTGCCTCTCCATGAGCCCTTGATTAACTCATTACCATGCTGTTCTGTCAACTAATAGCTTTACATTACTATTGCATTTGTACTCGTCCAGAGCAGCCTCTAACATAGGGCCAGACAAGTGCAGAAAAGGGGTTCAAAGGACTAGCAGCTCATCCTAGGAAATGTTCAAGCAGAGACTGCTAGAGCAGGAATTCTGGCATTGGTGAGAGCTTTGAATTAGATATAATGCTGAACTCCCCAAAAGGGGAGAGTCTATGACCACTAATAACTGAATCAATGAGACAGATTGTTTTAAGGATCCCTATCTGAATTTTTTAAAAATATATTTTATTGATTATGCCGTTACAGTTGTTCTATTCCCCCTCTTCATTCCCCTTCAGCCTGCACACCCCCTCCTCCACCATTCCCCCCTTTAGTTTATGACCACGTGTCTCAAGTTCTTTAGCTTCTATATTTCCCATACTATTTTTGTCCTCCCCCTACCTATTTTCTACCTACCTTCTATGCTACTTATTTTCTGTACCTTCTCCCCCCTTCTCCTTCTCCCACTCCCCTGTTGCTAACCCTCTTTGTGATCTCCATTTCTATGGTTCTGCTCCTGGTCTAGCTGTCCTCTTAGTTTGCTTTTGTTTTAGGCGTGGTTGTTAATAACTGTGAGTTTGCTGTCCTTTCACTGTTCATATTTTTGCTCTTCTTTTTCTTAGATAAGTCCCTTTAACATTTCATATAATAAGGGCTTGGTGATGATGAACTCCTTGAATTTGATCTTATCTGAAAAGCACTTTATCTGTCCTTCCATTCTAAATGAAAGCTTTGCTGGATAGATCAGTCTTGGATGTAGGTCTTTGGATTTCATGACTTGGAATATTTCTTTCCAGCCCCTTGTTGCCTGGAAGGTCTCTTTTGAGAAATCAGCTGACAGTCTGATGGGAACTCCTTTGTAGGTGACTGTCCCCTTATCTCTTGCTGCTTCTAGGATTCTCTCCTTCATTTTAATCTTGGCTAATGTAATGATGATGTGCCTTGGTGTGTTTCTTCTTGGGTCCAACTTCTTTGGAACTCTCTGAGCTTCCTGGATTTCCTGGAAGTCTATTTCCTTTGCCAGATTGGGGAAATTCTCCTTTATTATTTATTCAAATAAGTGTTCCACTCATGGGTGTTCCTCTTCCCCTTCTGGTACCCCTATAATTTAAATGTTGGAATGTTTAAAGATGTCCTGGAGATTCCTAAGCCTCTCCTCATTTTTTTTGAATTCTTGTTTCTTCATACTTTTCTGTTTGGTCATTTTTTCTTCCTTCTAGTCCACTCCCTTGATCTGAGTCCGTTTCCTTTCCATCACTATTGGTTTCCTGTGCATTTCCCTTCATTTCAATTAGTTTAGCCTTCATTTGTTCCTCTAATTTGTGACTAAAATCAACCAGTTCTGTGAGCATCCTGATCGCCAGTGTTTTGAACTGTGCATTTGATAGGTTGGCTATTTCTTGGTTGCTTAGAGTTATGGGCTCTGGGGCTTTGAGTTCCTCTTGAGCCATGTTTTTGTCTGTTCGCGCCTGTTACTTATGAGGAAGGGAGCCTTAGATGTTCACCAGGGTGGGGCCACCCAGGTCACTGGGTTGTGACACTATATGTGGGGGCGGGGTCAGAGAGGGGTAATAGTGGTCCCCTCTGCTGCTTCCCGCCTGGGGCCTGCAAGGTCCGTCTCACTGCTCGCTCCTTTGCTGGTTTATCTGCGCACGAATGTGTGGCCGTGGTCAGCCTGCTGCCTTGTGTCCTCAGTGGGTCCGCCCGTTGCTACTCCACACCTGGGATCCGCCCACAGCTGCCTGCACCCCTGGGTTGTGTGCCTGGGTCAGTCCGGTGGATCTTTCCTGCCCAACCTGCTCCACAGCTGGCTTCGCCCCTCTTACTAGTCTGGCTGAAAGGTTCATTGTTGTCGGCCTTCCATGTAGTTTAATTTTCTGTGTTTTGGTTGTGTATTTTGTTACCAAAACTTTGTTGTCTTTAAACTTGGTTGTACAAGAAGGCACAGTGTTTCCACCTACACCTCCATCTTGGTGGAAGTCCTATCTGAATTTCTTTAGTTTCACGACATTTGGGGCAAATGTTTATTATCATGGTTTTGAGGCTTGAAAAGCCCTGTGAATCCAAGTAAGGAGAGTCGTGGCCCCTCCCTGCCTCTAGGACCCTTCACCTCCTCATGGTATTACATCCATGATGCCAGAACCTCAGAACTTCTCAAAGCAGTTTCCTGGGCATTCATGACTCTGGACATGCTCCAGTGCACATTCAAGTACAACAGCTGGAGTGACAACTCAATGTCCCTTAGCTTTGGAGATGCCCTGCTGCAGAGACAGGGATGAGGACACAGTTTCTGACCTACTTCTACAGAGGAGCAGAACCCCTCCCCACACACATGCCAGGTACCCAACAGCCAGCAGTCTTGGTTTGCCCATGAGCTAGGGGAATGAAAAGAAGTACACTCCTGACAAACTGTCAACAGCTACTCCAGATCCCTTCTAGGGCAGCCGATCCCAGGAGGACTGGGGCAGAGGCGGGGAGGAGCTTTGGGCAGCTGGACTAGCCCAGGATCTGTACTCACATCAGCCAGTAGGAAGGCATCCACCTCATTGTGGTAAGTGTCAAACAGAAGACTCAGGGCCTGCCTAGGAAGTTGGGGACAGGGAAAAGTCAAGTTGTAGAAGTCAGGACAGACCCCCGCCCCATGTACTGGCCAACCCATTCTTTCCCTTTTTCCATGTCTCAGGAAACTGACTCTGGTTTAAAGGAGTTGCCACTCCTTCCATATGTCCCATGAAGACGGAAAGACAGCAAGTCTTTTCTACTCTGCCACCTCTCATGTGAAGAATGACAGCAAAGTACTAGAAGGAAGAGCTGTAACACACCTGGAATGGGCACTGTCCTCATAAGACTCCTGGACTCCACCCCCAACACCTGTAAGAAGCCCTGGCCAAAAGGTAAGCAAGGTGTCTGCTGGGGTCCCCTTAGAGTTCCTGCTTGGCCCAAATCCAAGATGGCACCCATTCTCACCTGCTGATGGTCTGTTTCACTGGCCTTTCTTGCAGATGGACGAGGTAGTTCAAAGTGGAGGGGCTCTGGTCATCATTCACCTGTGCAACAAGGGCCCTATTCAGGGGGGGGCAGTGCCTTCATCTCAGCCCAGCACTCCTATACTACTCCCACTAAATGTGTTTGTTCCATATCACCCTCTGCTACCCCACGAACCGTCCGGGCCAGGTCGCTGCGTACAGATTGCTGCTCCATCAGCTGTAGCCGAATGTCAATGTCAAACTTGCGGCAGTATTGAATGTACTCATGGCTTCCCAGGGCATGCTTGCTGGTGGGACAGAGGGACAAGACCGTTAGCATCCTGGGGACTTGGTGGGAAAGGAGGTTTAGGCCTGAGCCTCAGGGAGAAACAGGAGAACCAGGAGGTGACCCAGGGGGGGTATTTGTGTTGTGCCCCCTACCTTGGCTCCTAGAAATGTCATGGTGGAGCCCATCTAAAGAAAAGCCACCTAATACACTAAGCCCTTAGTCTGTACAAACACTGACTTTCCCGGATATTTATTACCTGTTTTGTTATTGGTGGTTCACTCCAGGGTGGGAACTTCTGGTGGGGTGGGGAACAGAGTTTAAACCCCATTGTTGGCTTTGGTATATGAGCCATGTTGGAAGTCAGCCTGTACTCAGACTTGGGTGTGGAGCTCCGTGAGTGACGCTGTCCCCCTGCTGAGGTCCTAGGTGTCCCACCCTCTACTGTTACCAACTGGGGTGCCGAGGTCAGCCAAGCACATCCAGCAAGATTCCAGGTCTGCTATCCCAACACCCATCAAAGGTCTGCTTTTCCTCTTCCTCCATGGGTCCTGCCTGATTGTGAATAACTATAGAAATGTCTACAGACTTCCTGGCAGACACCCACCTGCTTGCCATTCCCTCTGCTCAAGTGACAAGTGAGACCCCACCTCCACCCCAAGCTCAGAGGAGATGGCCTAGGAAGTCCCTCCATGATGTAGCTTCTTCCTTCCTCCCAAATCACACCTCGGTCAGAAAGGAAATGCAGAAGAGAGGCAGAGAGAGTCTCACCTGCAGGCTAGCACTGCAGGCCTGGGCTGGGTTCCAGCAGCTGGGGAACAGAAGCCGGAAAGGGACTTCCTTCCTCAGCACAGCTGGGAGTCTAGGCCAGCAGTGCAGGAGGGAGTAGAGGAGCAAAGGGGAGGAGTGTGTGTGGAGCCAACAGAGGTGCCCTGGCCCGCAGCCCGCCAGGGTTAAGACTGAAGGGAGTTCTCCACATCCTGAGGCGCCAAACCTCTAAACTAGGCCCCAACCTGCTAAGTATGAACTGCAGCCAAAACCCAGGGCTGGAGAGGCTGGGCTCTGGGGCAGGTCTGGTGGGAGTGCCCTGGAAGGAAGGAAGAGTGTGGTTCGGTGGGGGAAGAGGCAGGAAACCCAGCCCTCCCCTGGAACTGTCTCAGGGCTCTTATCTGAGCACAGCCTGCATTCTGGCCCCGCCACTCCCCCTGGCATCAGCAGCCCCTGCTAGGCACAGTGGGAAACCACAGGGCTTCCTTGGAAGCTAGCAGCTTTCTAGAACCCCCAAGAGGGACCTTTCCACCCCATCCAAGGCAGCTGTCTTGTGCTCAGGGGTCTGGACTTTTCTGTTGGTGGGAAGGAAAAAAAGAGACTGGATGGAGCGGGGCAGGACTCCTAGACACAGGTCCCTTGGGGACTTGCTCGCTCTTCTCTATAGAAGGCCTTCCTATGTGTGCATTTTAGTTGGAGTGAGGGAGGCATGACCCCAGGACCATCATCCTGTCCCAGCCCACCCCGCACAGCCCCCCTGGGCCTTGGCAAGAAGGTAGAGCCAGACAGCTCATCTACCACCTGTGGACCGATGGACTGGGGGCCCACAAGGGAGATCGGACAGTACCCACCTAACCAGATCCCCACGAGTTCCTCCCTTTGGGCTGGTCCTTCCCTGGTTGATTTACTGATTGCTCACTGGGCCATCCTCACATTGAATCCTCACTACATTTATGGAAGAAACTGAGGGTCAGGGTTTTACAACTAGTAAGTGGCAAGCTAGAACCCGAACCAGCCGTGATGATGTGCCCCACTCTGCCCCTTGTCTCCTTACAACAGTGACAGGCTGTCAAGGGTGCTTTCTGCCAGGAGACATTGACTCTAGGGGCCCTCTCGGTCCTCCAGAGGAAACTGCAGACACGTGGAAACATCTCGTCGCCACTCCCTGGAGTTGTGCCATGTGAGATTCTACCCCTTTCCTTTTCTAGGTGAGGGCACAGAGGCCACAAAGGCTCCATGACATCCCTCAGGTTAAAGAAACCAGCCAAGAACTGCTCTACCCACAGATCAACTATCCTTCATCTATACCTGGACATAGGAGAAAGAGCAAGCAGTGCTACTTATAGGCTCTCCTGAGAACTATGACACAGGCCTCTCCTATCCCCACTCCAAGGCCTGCCTTCATGGGCAACAGGCAACTGGAAGTATGGGGAGGAGAGCAGATCTCTTTATTTCCTGATCTGCTGCTGTCTGTCTGATTCCACCTGCCACATAAAAGGTGTAATCCCCCACTGCAGCCAGAGCTCCAGAGCTGCTGATCCACATCCAACTGTCCGGGAAGGCTGCTTGCTGCAGAGGACACTGGCTGGAGAAGGGCTGGCTGTGAGCCTTTGGTGAGGAGGCTAACCAGCAGCACGTGCCAGAGGGGACAGGCTTGCTGGCATGGGGAAAGGGGAAGAGAGAGCAACCGTGATTTCTCCCCTAGGTCCCACTGGGCACTTCTGCCTCGTTCTCCTCCTGCCCCTCACTATAGGCTACCTCACATAATCTAGGGCAGGAGGAAAACCCCACACAGCCCCCCACCACCCCTCTCTCCATCTCTCCACATCTCTCCACATGCAGAAGTCTGCAAGCAAATATGACCTAGCCTTTGCCTAATCCCTGCTCCAAACTCTTTCCACAGATTTGGCTCAGGAAGCCAGCCAACACTGCTGGAAGACAGAGCTCCTGGGAAAGTGCAACGTGGCCGAGAGTGTGCCTGGAAAGCAGGAGTCCTGCCTGTGGGACTGCGGGGCAGCCAGCAGCCCCAGGCCTGGAGCCCAGCACCTCCCCTAGGAAGCCCCCGGCAAACCTACTACCCAGAAGGCAGGTGCTGCGTCCTATCCCACCCTGCTTGTCCCCCAGTTCACTCACTTCTGCAGGAACTCCTCTAGCCCACAGGGCTTCAGCACAAAGTCACCCACATCCACATCCCTCAGTTCATCGTGGGTGTAGCACAGGGTCTGGTAGATGAGCAAGTCCACAGTGGAGGAACCTGTATGGGGTGGGGCAGGAGAGCAATGAAGGGAGTATTGGGGCAGGAGGGGCTCAGCCTCTACCCTGATCCCTCATTCCCAGCTAAGGGCGCTCCAGCACTATCACCAATCAGATAAAGTAGTTTGGGGTTAAAGGAAGTGACCTAAAAAGCTCACCCCAGAGCCAGTCTCCCAAAGGAGCTTCCTGACTGTCCAGCACGCAGCCCACACGGTGGGGTGGGAACTGAGGCCAAAGGATGAAACCCTACCTCCAGGGAGGCTCACCCTCCTTCCCCCAACTTACAGTTGCAGGTAAAAGTGAGTGGCTCCCGCAGGCCGTCACACAACACTGTCACCTTCAGGTTGACCTCGTCCCCAAGGTGCTCTGGGCTTGGGGTGACAGCACTCCAGACATATCCAGTGAGGAAGTAGTCTTGGATATTGGAGCCAGACCGAAGGCTGTGCAGGAAGAGAGGGAGAAGGACCCTCGCTCTGCCTTCAGAAGAGAGCAGCCGAGAAGAAACCTGCTGGGACCCACCCGCCCTGAGGCCCAGGGCCCCTCTGCATCCACTCAGCCCGGCCCTCCAGGTCTGCAGTCCAGGGTGAAGGTGGTGGGGAAGCAGCTCTGGGAAACCATGTCCTTGACACATCTGCTACAGTCGCAAAATGTTTCCCAAGTGGAGCTGAGCAGCAGGGATGGTGCTAAGATGACAAAGCGCCCCCCCCCCCCCCCCCCCCCGGCTAAGTGTGAGAAAGGTTTTCTGAATCCATTTCCTTTCTGTTTTAGCTCCAGATAACACTCTCATCTCCGTCTGGGGGGTACTGGCTCCTAAGGGCCACTGAGCCTGAAGGGGTTGGGGTAATTTGACTGTTAATCGAGGCTTTATAACTTTTGTCAAATCTGTGAAACATCTAAGGTGCCTCATTAGCGCAGTAAGTAGCACATCAGTCTCACAACCTGAAACTTCTAAGATTTCAAAAAGCCTACAAACACCTTTTATAGGAAGCATCCCATAGCTCTGAATTGAGGCTTATTACATGTGCTGCTCCTTTCTTTCTAGAAAGAGGGGACCTCCTCCCCAGCCCCCACAACCCCGCTCTTTAACTCTTACATATCCAGCATGTGGCAAAACGCAGCGACTTCCTCATCTCTCTCTTCTGAGACCTCAAACAGCTCGTGGCCATTGGTGACGGCATGGGGCCGAGAGACCGCCTTTGAAAGGGGAACAGCTGGCTCAGTGCCTTTGCCCTCAGGACGCCCCTTGCCCCTGCCCTCCGACCTGCACTGTTCAACTCTAGGTGTGAAGACTTTCAAGGCAATGGACATTCAGTGAAAGGGGCACAAAAAATATGGAAAATCCTGGAATATCTTTATCTACCATCCTAGGAGACCAAGAGCCAAGTTGAAACAGAGAACTTGAAGCTTTGGCTGAGTCCAGAAGCCTGGGTAGGATGAACAAGAGTGTGGACAAACCTCCTCCCCAAGGGGGCAGTTTCTAACAGGCTCGGTGCAGCAGGTTAGGCAGTTAGGTGGAGATTTTGGGTGGAGTTAGGTTAGGTGGATACTTTCTCAGACAAGACCTCAAACTGTCTCCTGTAGTCACAGCGCTGTTTTCGCTCACCCACAGGGAGTGCTAAAAATGCCCTCTGGCTAGGCCTGCCACCCAGCCCCCAGAGCAGGAAGTAGGAGAGCTGGTGCATGATGCGAGGCGGCAGGGCGGGGCGGTGCCTGCCTGATGGGCCTGCCCACAGCCACCAGGCAAGGCCACCCCAGGGCAGCGAAGCTTGGGCTAGAACGGAGTGCCCAGCCGGTGCCAACACCTGCCTCTGGGGAGCCCAAAGCTGGGGTCTGCACCCACAGCAACGCCTCACCTCCCACCCACCTCCAGCTATTCTCGTGTCCTCCCCACCCCTTGGGCAGATGGCAGCACCGAGCTCCTGATTTGAATATCCAGAGTTTCCACTGAGTGGCCCTCTCCTGTGAGCCTTGCTCCCATGGGTGAGCAGGGAAGGGGTGCGGCGAGGGGAGGGCAGCAGTGGGGGCAACTGGCACGTGAGGCCCTGGCTCTGCCAAGTTCATGCCTGTGTTCCCGTCAAAACAATAGTACCACTGTCAGCAATTAACCCACAAAGGGGAGAGCGAAAAGTGACAGAGCAACAGAACAAGACAAACAGAGACACAGAAACAGAGAGAGGCAGAGAGAGGCGGGGAAGGCAACGGGCAGAGAACAGAGCAGCTTCTGAAGGCCATTTTCATGCCCTTCCAGTGCCACTCCCTGGCTCTATAGGAAAACAAAGCCACTTACGTTCACCCTGCTGGCAGGCCCTGGTGGCATCGCCTGGTGCTGGCTTGGAGAGTCTGCCAGGCAGAGGCTGGCAGTGGGGGTACCAGGCTGACACTTGGAGCCACCCATTTCCAGAGCTGGCTCCGCAGGCCGGGGGTAAGGAGGGTCCTTCTGGCTGGAAGCCCGGCGAAGGCGGGGTGGTGGTACAGGCCGAGGGCCTAAGGGGTCCCTCTGCCCAGTAGGATGGGTCCCTGCATAGAGCTGAGGTGGGGAAGACCAAGGCCGCATATCCCCACTGAGAATGGGCAAGAGTTCTGTGCTTTGCCCTTGATTCTTCAAGGAGACTCTGGAGTGAGCTCCCTCTTGGAGCTCTGGTGACACACAGGGGAAGGGGGAAGGGTGGGGGAGTGGAGGGAGCAGGAGAGGGAGTGACAGAGGTGACCACCTACCAGGGTGGCTGGACCCGGTGAGCAGGCCCAACTCAGCGGGAGGAACTCAGGACTGGGAACAGGACTCTCCCTGCCCTATAAATAGCAGGAACAGCCCCACCTCTCAGAGCAGGGCCTTTCAAAAGCTCTGAGCTCCATCCAGAGCTATGACTTATCTGAGGAGCTGATGCTACTTCAGGGGCTCTCGTAGTAGCAGCACAGGAAGGAAGGACCACATGGCTTTTTCAGAGTCATGAAGGGTCCCAATTGCTAGCACACAAGGTGGGAAAGCCCTGGTGTCCCTTAAACAATTATAAGGAAAAAACAGGGAAGGAATGAGGTGGAACGCTGTCCCTACAGAAGTCATCAGTTACAAGGGAGCCTCTTGACCCTTCTAGGGCCAGAGCTTCCAGTATCCAAGGGGGAAACACAAAGTGGTCTTCAACTCCTGCCTGAGGGCATGTTGCTGGCACTTTTTTAAACCAGAAAAAAAGATCAAAACCACCCTGGAACCCACTCTGTGCTTTTTTGTAAATACTTTTCTATTTTATATGATGTACTGATAAAAGCAAAATTACTGTTGTCATACTACATGTTTTCCCCAAACATTTGAATGTGAAAAGCGGTGAGTGGTGAGGATGGTCGCAGAGCGTCAGGGATGTTCTCCACGCCACAGGGTAAGCTCACGATTGGATAAGGCAGTACATTTAATGCAATTTTCCTGTGATTAAAGACAGACACAGAGAGAAAGGTGGGGAGAAAGAGAACACAGCAGCAGACACAGGAAAACAGACAGATAAAGAGGAGAAAAGAGAGACGGGGAGAAAGACAGAAGGAAAGAGACAGACAGAAAAAGACACACATGGAGAAAGAAATGCGGAGACAGAGACGGAGACGGAGACGGAGCCGGAGACGGAGACGGAGCCGGAGCCGGAGATGGAGACGGAGATGGAGCGAGTGAGGACAAGCTGGCTTTGAAGTGAGGGAGACCGGGCTTTGTGCCTTGGACCACAAGCCAGGGCTGCTGAGGGGTTCGAACCAGGGCCTGATATTCAGTGAGCACTAGACAATGGTTACTGTGAGGATTCGGCCTCGCCACCATGCACCGTTTCTGGCAGAGCTAAAAGCAAAAGCAACTCACTCCTGTCCACAAGGCCACTGGGCCACAGAGCCAACAGTGAGTCCCAGAACCCCAGTTCTGTCCTCACATCATAAAGCAGGCACACACTAGGGACGGGATTCTAAAATACCTGCACCCAGGAGATACATAAAACTCAGCCCTGGAAAGGACCCCCGTCTCTAGGTGTCCCTTCTCCTCTCCTTCACCAAGACCCAGGGGCCCAATGGCAAAAGCAGAGGGCAGGAGGGGACTACAGGGATGAGTACATAGCAGATTTGGAACAGCAAAGAACTATCCTGCTTCCGAATGACATGAGGGAAGGGAGACAGAAGAAACACAATAAGGTCCTCACCGAAGCAGCAGAAATCCGGTGGTTCTTGCCAGATGTTGAATTTTTTCGGTTGGCATAGGTGCGTGGGGGCACCTGAGGGGGCATGGTCTTGCTCCGGGCCACGGGTTTTCCAGGAGTGTCCTTGCCGAAGTCCAGAGGCCCCTGGCCCTCCTTCCAACCCCTGGTGGCATCCCACAACATCTCTGCATCATAGGTTGACTTCAAGTTGAGCCGTGTGATCGCATCATTGATGCCGTCGTAGTCCACAGACTCCCAGAGGGGTCCCGTGCTCCCACCTCTTGGCTCCTCTTCTTCTAGGATCTGATGCCCTAGCAATTTGCCAGGAGGCTGCTCAACCAAAGAAAAAGTGTTGATGTCACTGGGCTGGGAGATCTTGGAGGGAGATGGGGATCCCTTTCTGGGAGGCAGGGGAGGCGTGTCCCAGATAGAGACTCGAGGAGGCAGAGGAGGTGGGGACAGTTTCTTAGAAGAACCATCTGTGTCCCCCAGTCTTGGGGACAAAGAGAGCCCCCCATCTGAACCATCAAAAATGTAAAGATAGTCTCTAGCCAGGGAGCCTGTGGGCCAGGGATCTGGGCCAGGCGGGGAGCCCTGGGAGGTAGAGTGGTTGGGCAGCCCTTCCTGTGGGGAGAGTGCATTATAATTGAGGGTAGGATCGGAGCCAGAGAGACCGCGTAAGAGCTTGAGGTCCTTCTGCCTTCCTGCCGGCTTGCTGTAGAAGTCCAGGACGGGCTCATCCCAGTTGATGAGACAGGGGTCTGGGTTCTGCTTGGTTCTGTTTTCCTCCTTGTCATTCCGGAGCCGGGACAGAGCATCATATTCCATCTGCAGGGCTTCAGCCATGGCCAGCTCTTTGCGGCTGATGCCTACCGACTCCAGGGACTTCCAGTGTTCCCCACTGCCCTGAGCTGACGACATGGTGAGGGTGGGGATGGAGGAGACAAGGAAGTCTACTTCCTGCCAATGTCAGGTCTGCAGGGCTGTGGCATGATGTCTGACAGGCACCTGCAGGTGAAGGGTAAAAATATCAATGATTGAGTCACGAAAAGAGATGTATTAATAATCTGACTTAAGTGCCGTCACCTGGGCCAGCGCCTATTTCTTGATTGCCTACAACAGATGGAAACAAACATCACCCTGACCTCAGTGGGCCGGGTGTCATTCCGCAAAATGAAGGGCCGAGAGTTTGATTCCTGGTCAGGGCACATGCCTGGGTTGCAGGTTCAGTCCCCAGCTGGGGCACATACAGGAGGCGACCAATCGATGTCTCTCTCACATCGATGTTTCTCTCCCTTTCTCCCTCCCCTCCCCTCTCCCTAATAAATAAATACAATCTTAAAGAAATAGAAAGATGAGGGAAAAAAAAGAGATACCAAGACCATCTTATCTATTACAACCACCCACCCTCCCATTCATCCGTACATGTTTCCACCTCCGGTCTCCAACACCCATTCTCATCTCTCTCGCACGTACCCAGAGGAAAGAAAGATGTATCAGCCAAGAGGAAAAGACAGAAACGAGGGCTCGTCAGTCAGTTTAGAGAGGCAGCTCTCAGACGCTGCTGGTGGAGAATGTGAAATGGTACAACCTCTTTAAAGCAGAGGCAGCTTCTTGGAAAGGTTAACAGTCACCTACCACATGACTCAGCTCCCTCACCTAAGAAAATGAAAGCACGTATCCACACAAAGATTTATACTTGCACATTCACAGCAGACGTATATGTAATATCTTAGAACCGGAAATAACCCAAATGCCCACCAACAGGTATACGGATTAAAAAAATGTGGTATGTCCACACATTCGACTATTATTCAGCAACACAAAGGAACTAATTATTGACATATACAGTATCATAGATAAAGATCAAAATACAGTAAGTAAAACAAACCAGATAAAACAGCATGAGTGTGTAGGACTCCATTTATATAAAATTATGGAAAATGAAAAGTAATCTACAGTAACAGAGAGCAGACCAGTGGTTATCTGGGAAGGGTTGGGAAAAGAGATGAAACTTGGGGCATGAAAATATGTTCATTATCTAGACTGTGGTAAAGGTTTCACCTATGTCAAGGCTTCTCAAACTGTATACTTTAAGTATGTACAGTTTACTGTATGTCACTCCTGCCTCAGTAAAGCTGTAAATGGAAAGTACAGTGCAGCACAATGTGGCACAGGCTGCACAAGGACCCTCCCTAAATACACGGATATGAGCAATGAAACAGCCTTTCCAAAGGGTGAGACCAGGTGCCTGACAAAGCACAGTTCTGCCGAAGTACTGATTTCCCCTAAGCCCTCAGGAAGCTGGGCAGAAAGGCAGGGCCCTGGGGCCAGCTGCCTCTAGCTGAAGGCAGCCCCCTTCATTCACTCATGTCAGCGCCGTTTCTTTTAGAAGAACAGACACAAAGCAAATGGTTGTAATAACAATGGTAGCCTGACCCACCAGTTCTCAACCCTGCTGCACATTGGAAACTAGGGGGACTTTTTAAAAGTACAGTCCTGATGCCCACGCTCTCCCAAGAGACTGTGATTTCATTGGTTTGCGGTGGGGCAGTTGACTTTTCAAGCCGCACTCCCTCACCCCGGGCCCTGGGGATTCTAGTCTGTAGCTGAAGCTGAGAACCAACAGGCCTAGGTGTGCAGTAACTTTTCAACGTTACTGACAGGTTCTTGAAACTGCGACTGTAAACGAAACATAGAATAGAACCAATTTTGCCACAGGCGAATGATACAAACGAGAGTTAAGTTCCTAGGGCATATTTCTGGTCACAGAAACATCACCAAACTTCAAAATAAAGACCCAAATCATTTCTAATATTGAAAGAAATGTGTGCTATCCATACACCTAATAAAGATGAATAAAAACAAGTGAGATACTTATTCTCAAACTCACGTATTCTAGTTCAGAGTCATGGGTGACTGGAGCCTCTCCCAGAAGCTCAGGGAGCAAGGCGGGACCCCTGCCTGGACAGGACGCCCTTCCACTGCAGGGCCACTCACACCCACACTCACTCAGAGTGGGACAATCCAGACACACCAGTCCCTCTAAGGGTCACATCTCCGGGATGCGGGAGGAAACCGGAGCACCGAGAAAACCCATGGAGACACGCGGAGAGCATGCAGACTCTGTACCGACAGTGGCCCTGGTGGGGATCAATTTGATTTTTTCATCAATGTTATAACAAAATGATGTTATTCAAGAACCTGCTGTACATGTGTTTCAGATGAGCTTGAGGAGGCTGAGTGTGAAGCAGTCACATCTGACCCTTAGAACCAGCAGCAAAGAAGTTCATGATTTCATAAAATTATCAAAAATTGTACATTCTATTGTACTGCTTATCCAGCAGATAATAAATATATGAAGCATGTTCTTCCTCCAGATTAGAAAGCTGAAAACATCAACAGGAAAAAGGTACAGACAGATTCTTAGGTGGCAAGTTCCATCACATCCAAAAGGAGTTAGCAAACAAATAAAAGAAGATAGAGGAGTCAAAATGAATTAGGACAAGGGTATCCCTTAACTGAGGTCCCTCACACCACCCCAGCACCCCATGCATGTGTCAGGCACAGGACCCTGAGGGCCCAGGCTGGCTCAGTGAATTTTAAGAAGTAGTTTCCCAAAGACAAATTAGACCAAGCCCACAGAGAACTCTGCCAATTTCTTCACCTGTTTGAGTCTCTCCACCCTTCAAAAGCTTCTTATAAATTATTTTTTATCTACAGAGAGTAAGAGGCAGTCTTTCTATTTGAAATTCAAAGGCATCAGATGGCCGGATGAGGATACCGGGAATTTAGCTGCCCAGAGCTGGAAAGCTGATCCCAGGAAAAGGAGGTCCCCATGCTTTAGATGAGAGCCACTAGGTAAATGCTCAGAGTTGGACTGAGTTTAAGCCTTTTGATCTCCACTGTGGATTCTGAGCCCTGAGCTGGGCCAAGCAGAATAGTAAGAGGTGCCTCAGCCAGGCACCTGTGTGAAGTGGAAACTTGAAGTCATTGGAAAGAATCTCTCCCAGCACCCTGCCTCTCTCCCCTACTGAATCGTCCATATAAGCATTCAGCCTCCCTCTCTCCCCCTATGCTCCTGTCACCCCCTCCACAGGATCTCGTCGGGGAGGTGCTCTACAAATTCCCCCTCCCTCTCCTGTATCTCCATCTCTTCTCCTTAACTCAGTCTGTCTCTTCAGCACGTCAACATGTTCAAGCTTCTCCTAACTTTAAAAAAAGGGGGGAACCCCACAACTCCCCAAGCACCTTCCCTTGGCTTATTTTTTAATCCTCACCTAAGAACATACTTACTGATTTTAGAACAAAGAGAAGGAAGAGAGGGAAAGAAACATTGATAAGTTGCCTCTTGCAGTGCCCCCACCCCTCATAGGCCAGAACTGAAATCTACAACTTAGGTATGTGCCCTGACCTGGAATCGAACCCACAACCTTTCAGTTATGGGATGATGTTCCAACCAACTTAGCCACACTGGCCAGGGCCCCTTGACATGTTGTCCTCCAGCTAATATCCTTTCTGCTCTTCCTTCCCTTCCCAGCCAGTTTCTCAGTTCTCCCTTTTCATTTACTCTTCAACTTCATCTGGCTTCTGCCCCTAATACTCCTCTAAAGCTGGTCCAGCAACCAGACTCAGGCCATGCAATTCCGAAGGCACCTCCTTAAACACTCCGCCCCTGGCTCCCATGACACCGTTTGTTTTTTTTTGGTTTGTTCTCCACATGCTTCTTTGTCCTCTTCCTCTGCGCCCCCCTGAAGCACTGGTGTTGGCCCAGGGCTCCATCCTCAGCCCATTGTTCACTCAACACCCTCTACTTGGGCAGCTATCTACTCTCTCTCTTATTCGCACCACTCACGTGTTGGTGATTCCGAATGTGTAGCTCCCCTCAGGTTTATATGCCCACCCATCCTCGTATCCCAAATGTCCCAAACTGAATGATCACCTTCTTTCCTCCCGACACCTTTTCCTCGCTCTGGTTCCCCACTGTGGGATGGCACCACCCATCACCCACACTTGAAACCTGCAGCCTTTCTGGAGTTCTACTTCCTTTTATCCCGAGTCCAATGCCAAGGTCTACCAACCTTTCCTCTTCATTGATAATACTTCCCAAATCTAGTCCTTTTTTCTATCCCAACTGTTGCTGTCCTAATTAAACCCTTATCTTCTCTCACCTGAGCTATTACAATAGCCTCTTAGAGTATTTCCTCCTACTAATCTTTCCCTCTACAAGACTTTCTTCACAGAACAACCAGAGGGCTCTTTCTAGAGTATAAATCCGCTCACTCCCAGGTTAAACCCCTTCTAAGGCTTTCTATTTAGTTCCTTTACAAGGTCTTTATCATGGCCACCATCTCCCTCCCATCTGCAACCATTCATTACCAAGTATTTGATACCTCCGGGACTTTGTTTGCTTCTACTCCTAGGCAAGTCCTTCCTGATACTTGTTGCCTGACTCCAACGTACTCTTAGATACCCTGTTCTTCAGAACGCCTCCTCTGAACCCGCAGATTGAAGGAAGGGCCCCTTCTTCATGTTCCCAAATATCAACGTGTACTTATCTCAAACACACTCTTAAAATATTTTATTCAAAATTAAAGGTGTATGGATCTGTCACCCTCACTAAGCTCCTCAAATTCCAAATTCACTTCATTTCCACTGAGAAAAATATACGTGAACTGGGATATAAGGGCAGAGTATTCTGGTGGTTAGAATTTTTAGACACGGAGATAGGTGGTCAGAATGCAGGTGTCTTCCTTCTTTGGGGTCCTTCAGACACAGGACTGGGTTTCGACTAAGTAGGCCAGGTCTGGCATCCAGAGGCAGGTGAGTGGATGGATAACACCACCACATGAAGTGCCTTCTGGTTCTGGGATTCTTGGTTCTGACCTACTGAATTCCTTCAAGCAAATTTCTGAGAGGACTGCAACCCAAGCTAAGGTTCCTTAACCCTGGGGGAAAGAGAAGAAAGACCCAAGGAAGATCCAGCAGGCCCGGCTCCTGAGGTTCTT